AAAAAAAACATTTTTTTGGTTGTTCGTTTGTTTGTACCCGAATAAGCTCCAAAACTACAAAACCGATTTAGATGAAATTAGGTAAGAAGATAGTTTGAGACCCTTGTAAGGACATAGGGTAGTTTCTATCCAGGAAATCATTCTTTAAGGGGGTTGAAATGGGGATAAACGTTCGTATGGGGAAGCAAGTCGCTCGTCGTTTGTAGGGTGAGTCGCTAGTTAATTATTAATCCACTGCAGGTTTATTTACTAAAAAAAAAAACAAATATTTAACTTACAATTACTCATTTCGAAGCAAAGATCACTTTCGTAAAATTGTTGTTGCGATTTTCTTTGAAGCTCTTCGATCAATATCGCGATCGAAATCTTTTGATAATGAATTCATACGAATGCCAAATAGTCCGCGTTAAACTTCCTTTTATTAGGAAAATGAACCATACTCAATTCATAATATCCATATATACATATTCTATTTGCTTGGTACAGGCTTGTAGTGAATGCGCAAGCGATCCTACACACCCCATTGCACTGCGGCGACGGGTTCCGCTGTGGGTTTTAGTGAGTAGGAGTCTCACAGTACCCTACACATTGACGGCCGGTAGGGTCCCCATGATGGGTTTCCCCAGCGTTAACAAAAAAAAAAGGCTGTTTGATAAAAAAAAATTAATATTGTTAACTTATAAACTTATTTTTAAAAATATACAACTTATTTTAATAAGTATAAGCACCAATTATTTTTAATTTACCAATTTAACTATTAAAAATAATCGGTATTCAATATTTATTTTAAAAATATTTTGTACTTATTATGATTTTCAATAAATTATATTATTCGAAAGTTAGTACATATATGTAAGTAGGTATACCACCTATGTTCATAAGATATGATGTGATAGATAAATAAATACAAAATTAGGCAGGCAAAATAAATGGAATATGCAAACATCACTTCCCTCAGTTCCCAATAAAAAGACTCTTCAACCAATTAAATATAAATATTTTGATCATGTTTCTGGCGGTGTAAGATCTAGTAACTTGCCTTACGCTGTAGAAATATTTTTGTTGAATTTCTCAACAACAGAAGCAATAGCATAGATTCATTATAGTCTAGTAAAATATTTTTCAATTCTTAGTGATCTATTTAAAATATCTTAAATAGCTAATTTAAATGAAGAAAATTAAATAGTTTTTATTTATTTATTTTAACAAAACACAGACACAAAAACGACATACGATTTGAACGGCTATGGCTTCTTATTGAAATCGGTATTTAAATATATAATAATAACTATACATATAATAAAATTGCAACCAAGCCGAATCTGAACATAAGATATTGTTTATTGTATTATATTGTATTGTTTCTTATGGAAATAGACATTATTATCGATACAGAGGCCGAATCTATAGTTTTTAGAAAATTTGTCTGTCTGTTACCGCATCACAGAAAAACCACTGGATAGATTTTGATGCAATTTGGTATGATGTTAGCTGGTTATCCGGATCAACATATAGGATACTTTTTACCGCGGGAAAATATCTCATTTCAAAGAAAAAATACAAAAACTGCAGTGTAAGAATATACTAATATCTAAAACCTAAGAATTTGGTTCTTGGTCATCTGAACGCGGCCGGAGCCGCAAGCAATGCTAGTATAAATATAAATTTTAAAAAATCTACAACACAATAAGCTATTCATTGAAACCATTTCAATATGTCTTTATACGATATCTCTGTCGTATTTTAGTTTTTTGTAGTACGATATCTCTGCTGTAGTATTTTTATTAGAGTTGAGTATCTTGCATAATCCAGGTCCCGCTGCAGCATCAGTAGTTACCATATCGTTGCAATGTCATTGAAGTAACGTGATTCTAAGCTTCAAATTGATTAGATTGTGGAATTTGCTCATATCCTTTTATCCCCTAGGACAGAGATTTTCTTGATCTAAAGCTAAGAACACTCTGGATCAAGTCACCTTTCAAACAAACAAAAACTAAATTAAAATCGGTTCTTCCATTTCGGCGCTACGGTGCTACAGACGGACACAGAGATACACAGATAAGCTTATAACACCCCTCTAGTGCGTCGGGGGTTCAAAAAGAAAATAAGGATGAGCTTTCACAGTGAAATTGGAATGCGAGCGAATATTTTAATTTTAATAGCAATGTGAAAAATACCTTGTACTTAATTTAAATAATGATACCAATAAAAAATTAATATTATAAGACGAAGAAATTCATTAAACAAACAATTCTTTTACAGGCACAAAATAACTTGGCACGAATTTTTTTCATAGACGATGCTAAAACGTTTTATTTCTACATTTATATACGTAACGAATTACTTAAGTACATAATATATTACCTAATGAGTAACTAAATAAAATATTTCTTTATTTTATTTGCTACAGATGTTAAACTTCTAATCTAATTTTAAATAAAACTATCTTTTCGTATTATTTCGCGGATTTATTATGATTTTTGGTTCCCGACGTTTCGAATGCTTTACAGCAATCATGGTTACGGGAGTCTCTTTCGTGACTATGATTGCTGTTGCACGAAAAGATAGTTCTATTTAAATCTAGCGACTCACCCTCGCTACGCTCGGGTTCGTCCCTACTTACGTTTTGACGATTAGTATAGATTTCTCAGAGATGCGATATTTTGCAGCAGTAAAAAGTATCCTATATGTTGACCCGGATAACCAGCTACCACCATACCAAATTTTATCAAAATCCCTCCAGTGGGTTTTCCGTGATGCGGTAACAGATGGACGGGCGGATGGACGGACGGACGAACGGACGGACGGACGGACAAACAGACAAACAGACAGACAGACAGACAGACAAAATTCTAAATACAATAGATTCAATTCAATCTAATGTTACATTTCAATATATACAATATCATATTGTTCTCTTTTCGTAAACTATGTATAATAAATATAAAAGAATAAACAAGATTTAGTTTTTCTCCATTAAAATTACCTGTACAATGACATTAGACGTCAAACAAAAGGATAAATTAAGATTATCATACGAGTACATCAATCTTCCACATAATCTTCCTATAACGTGATATTGACAACGGAACATCCTGCCTTATCACTCACAAAGTACAAGTATACCAAAACAAAAATAAATAATCGCATAATAATATTTGAAGTAAATCTACCTTTTAGTCATTTTTTCGAATTAAATTCTTTTTATTATTTATTGTTAAGTCTAATTTCAAATGGCCAAATTTGAACTATTTTTCCTATTCCGATACATCATGCATTTCTCATGGGATTTTATTAGACGTTGACAAATAATTAATTACATGGGAAGTATTTTTTTTATTTCTGTTTGGCGGCTATTTATGTATCACTGCGACCATTTCTGGTCTATTGTGATCGCCGCTATACACACATGGGAAGTAACTGTATACTTTAAAAATTGCGTAAAAACATTAGAAAGTCGTCGCTGTGGGAATTAGATCGAAAATGTCCATATTTATGGCTAGTTCAAAAATTTTTTTTTTTTAACCGACATATTAAAATCGTATTCACTTAGATAAAAAAAATTATCTTGTTTGTTTTTTCTCCCTCGTTTTTTTTTCGTAAATGTGATGAAAGTGTGATATAAAAGCATTTTTTGTATATCAATATGTAGGTATTATTATTATTTTACGGAAATTCAAAACTTTATTTGCTTAAAATGTCATCTATACATATAATAAAATTGTAACTGAGACGAATCTGTACATTAAATATTTTTTAGAAAATCTTATTGAAATAAACATTATTATCGATACAGAGGCCGAATCTATAGTTTTTAAAATTTTTGTCTGTCTGTCTGTGTATCTGTTTATTACCGCATCACAGAAAAACCACCGCAGGGATTTTGATGAAATTTGGTATGGTGATAGCTGGTCATCCGGGTCAACATATAGGACACTTTTTACCGCGGGAAAATGTCTCATTTCTGAGAAAGAATACAAAAACTGCAATATAAGAATATACTAGTATATAAAACCTAAGAATTTGGTTTTTGGTCATCTTAACGCGGGCGGAGCCGCGGGCAATGCTAGTTAATTATAAATACGTTAAATAGTTGAAAAAACAATAGCAACTGTTCCCCTCACAAAGCTTTGCGAGTTACCGCAAATAGATTCAAAGATTAACAAATCTATCGTAGAATTCGCACGATCTAAAGGAGCCGTATAACAGCTGTTACTATTCTTCAAATGTCGTCTTTGTTATACTAATTTTATTATAGTAGGGGAGCCCAAGAGGGGATTTTCTGTAGTTACTCGAGCGCGGCAGATTAATATACAGGGGGATACCTTTTACTCGAACGTGCAAAAACACTTTTTTAGTCTCAGTTATATATTTTCCACATAGTATTGTGTATGGAAGTAGTCCATTGATAAAATATATTGAATTATTTTGATCAAATAAAATTGTTTTTCTCTTTATTATTTATATATTCTTTATTGCCTATTAACAGAGTAACACAGATAATACAGAGACCAATGTGGGCAAAGGTGGACTCATCTCTAGAAGAGATCTCTTCCAGCCAACCTATGGAAGTGAGAAATAGTGTTATATGACGGGACTAAAAGTGTGCATTTATATACATAAAAACATATAATTTACGGATATTTTAGTATATTTTAAAAACAAAATAAGCTCACTTTCATGATGATTAATTAGAAAAAAATTGTAACATTTAATATATTATGGTACAGTAATGTTAAAAATATTTACATTTGTTTTTTTTTAGTATAAAAATTGGTGATCATTAAGAATACGTGAACTTTTAATAATATTCAGAACAAAATATCTGTAGTACGTCCAAACTAAATAAATAACATCCACAAAATGATCTAACAAGCAGTTTATAATCTTATATAGAAGACAAGCAGTAAAAGCTTTAACGATACTATGGTATTATAAAATATCTTAAGAAGAAAAATATTTCATTGTAGTACTAAAATAATATTTTCTTTTGCTTGCAGAGTTCATCGTTAACAGACTTAATATCAGCTTTCGATAACAAAGCACAGACGCACACTGAACTACAGAAAATCACTGCATTTAGCGGTCAATTTGACAAAAATCACAAACCTACATTCTCAAAAGACGAATATGGCAAGTAAGTTAAACTTTATTTTATACTAGCGGACCCGACAGACGTTGTCATGTCTACACGTCTTTAATTTGAAAATTTTAAACTTTTTTTAATATTTTTTTTGATGAAAATTATTATTCAAATTGTGACTCTAAACCATTCCCAGATCCCCTTGAACACACACAAAAAATTTCATCAAAATCGGTCCAGTCGTTTGAGAGAAGTTCAGTGACATACACACTCACAGAAGAATTATATATATAAAGATATAAAACTACATAGTTACGGTACTAATATTTTAGTTTACTACATTTTAACGATTTTCCTTTAACTTCACTGGTCTTGTGAAGTTTTGTTATTACGAATAGACATTGTATCCCATTTTTCTTAGATAATTTTATAATCTATTTGAATCTAGAGGTTAAATGATACCACCGCCATAATGGTTTAAATGATATCTTTGAAAATATTATAAGTATGTCAGTAGGAGAAATAATTTCAATCCATTTATCATCAGCAATTCAATCGAGCAGTGATTGAATTTCACTAAAATAATTTATAGCTTAAAGTTGAAAATGTTTCCACAAAATTATAAGATTTAAAATGTATATAACAAACACTACAATTTTAAAGTGAAATATTTATTTTAAAACAATTTTCATAAGAAAACTAGACTTGTTCTTTGTATTTAAAGTTAAGATACGTTATGTTTATGGCTCAGTTTGTAATTACTCTACTTGCTGTGCCAGCGGAAGCGGGTTCGAGTCCCGCTGGGGTCATTCATTTGTGTGATGAGCACGAATGTTTGTACTCCAGTCATGGGTGTTTATATTTATATCTATAATATGTATGTATTTAAAGTTATATATGTATAGTGTATCAACTATCTGGTATCCATAACACAAGTCTCGTAGCTTACTATGGTACTAGATGGTGTTGTGTGATAATGTCCCAACATATGTATGTATGTATGTATAAACTCCACAAAAATATTTTTACTCACAGAATTTCGAAGAAGAAAGCGTAAAATTATGCTTAGAAAAAAAAACAATGTCCATACAAAAAGGGAGTGTATTCTTTATTTGGAATACAAAAAAGTCAAGGTCTAATAAATAGTTATAAATTTAAATAATTGTAAATGATATCGTACTATTTTCCCATATTCAATCCTATCCATATCCATACTAATATTATAAATGTGAAAGTGTTTATATTATAGTCTGGAATAGGATATAGAATACTTTAATCCCGGAAAAATGTACAGTTCCCGTGGGATAGATTTTTTTCACTAGGAACGAAATCAAGCGAAACGAGGTAATTTATAAAGAGTTTTTAGTATCTAGTTAACGTAAATACTAAATATCCATTGAGTTGAATTGTTATATGCCCTCTGAGTGCTTTTATCACTTCGCAACACATTCATTTGCAAAACTCTCAGTTAAATAGCCGCTGGCTAATGTTTAACATTAAGCTTTCTGTCGAGGTTCAATATAAAGCCACTTTGATGTATTTTTTTAAAATACGATAAAAATGATTTCCATATAATATATTTTTAATGAAAGTGTTTTTAGGGATTTCTCACAGTTTTATTTTATTGTTTGGGTAACTCACGCGAGGCTTCGAATGCTTTTGCTTTTATTCTGATGTCTTTAAAACATTAATAAAGTTATTGTGTAACAGACGGACCTATAAAATTATACAATAATATAGAAGAAATAGCATTTAATAAACTTTCAAATAATCGCGTAAATTTTAGAAACTATTATTCTAAAAATATAGTCAAAACGTTGTCATAAATCACTTTAATGCGCAAAGAGAGCGAACTCTATGCCATCTTTTAAGAACACTTAAAAAATGTAAACAAATGTTAAGGAATTCTGCTAAGTAAACAATTTTAATTTGATCAAAGAAACTATTTTTGATGTTTGCACTAGTCACTTCCGCTATAACTATTGCAAGAACCACCTGCTTTCATAAATAAATTGTTCTTTTAACAAACATTCCTTGAAATATTAAAGCATTTGAAGCAGCCTTTAAAGAAATATTATTATTACATTTTTTTAATACTATTTGGTAAAAAAACAAATAATCTTGTTTCTTAAAGAAGAGATTAAAGAAAATTTGAAATAAAGAAATATGGTAAAGTATGAAGTGCCATGTCGTAGGTCAGTATCTTGAATTAAAAATGGAATATTGAAAATATCTGGGAATATATAATAAATATAAATCTATATCATGTGCTTTTGTCACTGTATAATTCACTGTGAAGTCAGACTTATGTTTATAATGGTAATTGTTCTTGAATACGCGTTAAATCGAAAATTACTCTGATATACTTTTATTAAACGTGCTGAAAAGACGCTAAAAAGACGGTGGGTTTGGATGAAGTTAGTACTCAGACGGACTGTCACCTTTTTGAAGTTATTCTTTATAATAAATAAAATCACTATATATAGAAAAAAATATATATATATATATATACTTTTACAATGCGCGTACGCAGCCAAAAAACGACATGATGAAGTTCTTGAAAGCGAAATCTGAAGTTAGCTGATATACTTTTATTAAACGTGCGTGTGGGGGTCTTTTTTACTCCTTCACGCTGAAAATATATTTGGATATATTATTCTTTTCTTAAAAGATATTCCATAAATATATGATTGTAATATGCCTAATATGCCTTAATTTAATTATTTTATTAATTTATTATTTTTTTACAAACAAAGATTTATGACTTACAGGATGAAATCTTTAGCTATTTTGTTCTGTTACGCCAAAGAAGTATAACTTCTTACGTGCGCACATAAGTACACACACACACGTTTTTTTTATTGTTGAGAAATACATTTGCGCATACCAACTGTATACATACAGGTGGTTATGTGGGACACTAAAACCCAACGAACTTCCCCTCTCTCAATGGGGCATCGCAGGATCGCTTACGCACTCATCCACGACGCCCCGACAGGTCTGCCAAAGCAGACCACATAACCCCAGGGTTGTTCCTTCGATCCACTCTGCTGTCACAGAAGTACCAGGAGCAACCCGCATGGTACACCGCCACCGAAGTGGCCCACCTCCCAATCTTTTGACTTCACGCTAATATCCGGCAATACAGCCGGTGTTTCTGGACGCTAATGAGCACGCCACCGCGAGAAGAGACGGATTAGACTAAAATACAAGTTACTGTTAGTAATAAAATTGGCAAAAAAAGTTGGTGCTAATCATGTGCCAAAAAATAAATACATACATACATATTATCAATTATATTATAATTATATTATATAAAATAAGTGATTGTTTTTATATCAAGCCACATAAAGCACCTAGGGAGGGAAACACCCCCGCGCATTCAGGGTAAGAAATATATTTGTAATTTTATTTTCAGACCAATCCCTGGTTCAAAAACAGAATTTAGAGGTGCTGAAGCGCAAGCTAGAGTATGTACAGAAATGAAAGAGCTTTGTGAGATTATCCACGAGTACGGCAAATCACCCTGTAAAAGTCTTTTACCTCCAGAATTAAAGGACGCCACAAAAGTCATTTCCTTCGGTGAACTTTTCACAGTAAGTTTTGAAGTTTTATCCAATATATCTAATTAAGGTGATGAAGCTTATTTTAAAGTTAAAAGTTTAAAAGTTTAAAGCGAAGTTATCTTAAAATTCTAGTTCATTCAACATGGTAGTGAAAAATAGTAACACAATTAATAAATATAATATATTATGATGAAACTGAAAGGAGTAAAACCCATTCTTATATAATATTTTACAAGTCGAAATTTATTAAAACCTATTTCTATTTCGGATGCTGAATAATTTTCTTCATTCCATAATGTGCACTTCGATTTACATCTTATTTTACAATTTTTTATTGTTTATTAAATAGATAGTTATGTAACAATATAAAAATAATCTATATCTGATGATAGAGTATAATCTAAATTATCTGCTAAAAATAAAAAAAAAATCTTTGATAAGTGTAACTGATCCTTTTTTATGAACGTTTTATTATTTAGAAAAACGAAATTGAATCTTACGTAAGAAGAGGGGGGTTCGAGAAATCTTATGTATCTACATGGGGGTAGGGAGGGTAAAAAATCGTCAAAATCCTCCTAAATATGACTCGTAGGAACAGAAAAAATGATGAGTGATCATATACAAGGCTATTTTTCTTTATTAACAACTAGCGACACACTCTTGCTTCGCTCAGGTTCGTCGCTTGACCTACATTTAGACGCTTAGTATGAAACAGATATTTAAAAAAACACGTTTTTTTCCGATGTTTTAATAGTTATTCTCCTATTTGGGGTGACGACAAATCCAACAAACAAAGATCATAAAAATTGGTCTAGCAGTTCTCCAGCTGTTCTCGAGTTATAAGTATTGTTCAAACCCGTTCTGACTTTACAGCCGCCAATAATAAATATTTTAAACAAGTGACAATATCTGCTTATACATAGGGAATAAGAGGTCGTCGCTAAGATAGCAGAAAAAATTCTGCTGCTCATTTATAATACATGAATCAACTTTTAAATTTTTTCCCCGTTGTTGCAATATATAGTAATAAAAATAATAATCGTATTTAGTAATAAAAATAATTTTCCAAAAGGAAAAAAATCTCATTGCAAGTTTTTCAGTTTATTTTAAAATAATGAGACAAAAACGTTTTATATAGTTATTTCTATCAAATGTATTCTAAATATATCTAAGGCATAATAAAATACAAGTAACGAATATTCCTATAAATAAAATTAAAAAAGCTAGCGTAAATATAATTAGTATCAAAAACGTGGATAATTATACTATATATAGCTTCTCGACTCATTGATTTCTTATATTCACGTGTTATAAATAGGGATTTGAAAACTGATAACTAATTCTGAAGTATCTATATACAGAATAAAATATTAATGTGGAAAATCTTATTGAAATAGACATTATTATCGAAACAGAGACCGAATTTATAGTTTTTAGAATTTTTGTCTGTCTGTGTGGGAACGCATCACGAGAAAACCACTGAACAGATTTTGATAAAATGTAGTATGATGATAGCTGGTTAGCCGCGTCAACATATATAGGATACGTTTCTCTGCGGGAAAATATCTCATCTCTGAAAAATCTATACTAACCGTTAAAAAGTATCTAGGGACGAGTCCGAGCGAGAGTGAGCCTTCAGCCGCTATAACTTCAAAATTAATTCTCGTTTGTTAAATAGTGTAAAACTGCTTTTCAGTTTCGAATATCCCGAAATTGTTTTGAATATTTAGCTAGCGAGTACTTTTTGATTACATATATTAGATCGTTTTCACAATATTTCAGTGTTCATTATTTTACTGGCAATATAACTTCTAATCTTAGTTTGTAATGTCATTATTATAAAATTATCTGTACAGATTACGAATATTTTGCTACTCTAATTAATTAATTGTTGTACTTTATTTAATTTAAATTTAAGTTTTTTTTTATTTAAGTAGAGTAATATAATTCTTTTTTTTTATTGAAGATTTTTTAGAAGAAGGTATTTAAATCAAGTTTCTCAAGTGGTTAGTGGTAAATATTTGTTTAGGCTATGCAAATATTTGTAACAATCCAAGCTAAGAGGTAAAGGTGGTATTTGACGAATACTTTTCGAGTGCTAACAATCTACACCGAAAACGCTAAAAATTAGAGCATAGGTGAATGTACCTTGCGTAAAAGATTTAAAACGTAAAGAATTTTTTGTCAAAGTATCTAAAAATAATATCTTGGCCTATTAACAATGAATGTAAAATTTATTTAACTCTGCCAGGCATTGGCAATATTCGTCAGATTAAATATTTTTTTATAAAACAAATTCTTTTCCTCAATGACTAAACCATTTTTACAGTACTTACATATGAAACCTAACTTTGTGCACTTGATAATTTGTATTTACTGCAAAGTATCTTAATTCATCAATGAATACAACATGGTACAGAATAAAGTAATTATTAAATCTAAAATAGACAACAGGTATTAAAATTGTGACGATAATTATCTTGGCAGCTGTGGCTGTGATACATGCCTGAAATATTTGTGATTCGTGACGGTTCTAAGGAACATTCATTGTTTTCCAAGAATAACATTAGGCCGTCAATGACTAGGCCATAACAGCTATCTCAATACGACACCCTACATTTCAGTTATATAGTTATATATATATATATATATATATTATATATATATATATATATATATATATATATATATATATATACTGCCTCGGTGGTGTAGTGGCTAGCATGTACGGCTGCACACCCGTAGGTCCTGGGTTCGAGTCCCGGGTCGGGCCAAGTTTAGTTATTGAGTCTTCCTGTATAGTAACTCTCAGCAACAGCCTGGAGTTGGGAAGTTGACGGTGTTTCACCCCCGTGCCTCGGAGAGCACGTAAAGCCGTCGGTCCTGCGCCTTCACTCTCACCGGTCGTGTCGAGTGGTCGTCCTACCGGAGTATGAGAGTGATAGGAATAGAGAGTGCACTTGTGTCTGCGCGTACACTTGAGCACTATAATATCTCCTGCGCAGTTGGCTAATCTCATTGAGATTGGCCGCCGTGGTCGGAATCGGCTAGGAGGACATCATCATCATCATATATATATATATATATATATATATATATATAATTTCAGTGTAGCAAACTCATTTAAAAACTGATAAGGTATAAAAGCTAATATATGGTATTTATACAAGTTCAACTCCCATTTGACTATTTTTATACCTATTTTTTTTAATTATTACTACAGCATACAAGTTAACAGTCTCGTCTCGCCAAATTACTTGGGGTCGCCGCAATAAATCTTCCTCTTCCGTTCTCCCCTATTACTCGTCATCTCATCATTCATCCCTTTCTCTTCCATGTCCTGTCTCAGACAATCTATCCATCTTTTCTTCGGTCTTTCTCTACCTTTCCATCAATCTACATTCATTTCCATCATTCTTCTCGTTACTTGCGTTTCATTCACAACATGACGACACGTTTGGCTCAGTTTGTAGTGACCCTACTTACTGTGCCAGCGGTCGCGGGTTCGAGTCCCGCTGGAGGCATTCATTTTTATACTCCAGTCATGGGTGTTTATATTTATAATATGTATGTATTTAAAGTTATATATGTGTAGTGTATCAACTATCTGGTATCCATAACACAAGCCTCGTAGCTTACCGTGGAACTAGATGGTGCTGTGTGTTAATGTCCCAACATATTTATTTATTATTTATTCACAACATTAACAGTGATCGAATTAAATAAATAATAAACAGACAAAGTTGTGGACAAAAGCTAAATTATTTAAAATAGTCTTTTCGATACTTTTTAAGTTACACTTGAAACGAGTAAAAATTACAAGAACGAGTTTGAAACTTTTTAAAGGCATTGTAGAGAACTTTTAGTTCTACAATTTTTTTTTATTCTAAGTTAAGTTACATTCTTTGTTATAGTTATTGTGAACTACTGTTTTGTTTTTAGTACGTACTCGTATTTGAAAATATTTTATCTCCTAATATTTTATATTTTTTTACTTGGAAAAAGGTGCTTAGTCAATAATTGTTTTTCTTTAAGCGGACAGACAGATGGACAAACAATAATTATATTTTTCAATATTATTCATAGATGTTCCATAGATTCTTCATTCAAATATATAGAAAATTTATAGAGAGCTTCAAGCACTTCTAAATTGTGTCAAGAAGTGTAAAGAGGCCTAAAAGGTTTGAACGCGAAGAACTACAAAAATAGACAGTAAATTCTTATAAGAATTTCTTGTTACAATATTTCCTAGTAGAATTTTATTTTATTTTTAACTAGAGACTCGCCCTCGCTTCGCTCAGGTCCCTTGGTACATTTTAACGGTTAGTATGAAATACAAATTTTTGAATTTCTCAGCTTTTCTGTACTATAATAATCATGTATTTTAGATATAAACCTTCCTCTTGAATCACTCTATCTATTGCTGAAAACTGCATTAAAATCCGTTGAGTAGTTTAAAAGATCTAAGCGAACAGACAGCGGAAGCGACTTCATTTTATACTATGTAACAAAGATAGTCCTTCTTTCCTAATCAAATATAAAACTATTACATCCCATAATTTCGAATACAAATATGATTATTTGCCCAACCAAAAGAATAATAGAACGTATAGAACGGTAAAAGTATATTTACCTCTGCAATAAAATAATTTCTTTGTAAATAATACTTTGTGTTAGAAATATTTTCTTGTACATGGACAGGGAGATGGATAACTTTATCTTACGCTATACATATTTCAAAAGACAAAGTTGAATCTTTCACATAATATACGAATGGTTCACGAGAAAAAGATTCAAGTAATATTTCACGTGACGATTTTAGTATAGTAATAATTTATACTTTCTTTTTACATTTTGTAGGCTTTTCTTTTCTACGACAATACAATAAGTCAATCAGTATTACCTATGACAATACAAAGTTATTTTTTTAATACTTTGGCTTTGCAAATAAACGAAAAGATATTTAATTTAAGCCAAAAATAATATTTTTTTCGATTTCAATTGAATTTCAACATAATATGTTCAATGCATGTTTAAGTTAGATTATTTATTTTTCTTATATTCATATTTAGGGGTCATATTTAGGGGTTTCAGCTACATAAAAATATTAAGTACTAGCCGAACCCGCGACTTCGCTCACGTTAAAACTACAAAAAGATCTCTAAAAAGGTAGGTTTCATACAAACTTTCACCCCCTATTTTTACCCCCTAATGGGATGAATTTCGAAAAATGCTAAAAAACATATTTATTTGATTGTATTGAAGAGCAGAACAGAAGTTTGAAGTAATTCTGATCATAAAAATTACTTTGAGTTGTATTATAATTTATAACGTGTTTTCCCGTGGGAATGAGATAATCTCCCGCGGTACAAAGTAGTCTATGTCACTCTCCAGCCCTCCAACAGCTGTCTCCACACAAAAAATCAAGCCAATCCATCACTCCGTTCATGTGAAAGAAAGACAAACAAACAAACAAACAAACAAACAAAAAACAAACAAACAAACGCACTTTCACATTTATAATATTAGTATGGATAATGGATGTAGACACAGTATATTCTTACATGTACATTTATACATGACAGTACGTGATCTAGCTTACACATGATAGTACGTGACATACAATTATAATTAATCTCACGTTAAATTCCCAGCAGCAATGAAACAAAATATGACGAGACCAGCAATTTGTATGATAAATATATATTTCATATAAAATTTAAATCAAAAACAGTAGGCAGCCGTTTAAGTACTGCATCACCAGGATCAGATTAAAGTCGAGCATAAAGTGTCCAGCAAACGCCTTTACTATAGATCTGTCCAACTCGAAACTTTTAACAAGAGAATCTTCTTAAGAAATTAAATTCTGTGGCTTTTTGTTAAATTAAATCTTATTGTGCCAAATAACTGCAGTTTCAAAAAAGCTTTTAAGCTTTTTAATAATATGAACGAAAGCATTACAAACCTTATGACTCACTAGTACATAAACAAAGAATATGATGAGAGAAGATAAATATAATTGACGACACGTTTGGCGTAGTTTGTTGTGACCCTACTTGCTGCGTCAGCGGTCGCGGGTTCGAGTCCCGCTGGGTCATGCAAGGCAGCCATGGGTGTTTATATATTTAAAATATGTATGTATTTAAAAGTTCTATATGTATAATATATCAACTATCTGGTATCCATAACACGAGCCTCGTAGCTTACCATGGAACTAGATGGTGCTGTGTGTATGTGACATATAAATAAAAAAAAATATACATGGTTATTACGAGTATAAATGTACCCTCTATACAATATTTAAAACTGCGACGCAACGCAATCAAATGCAAGCCAATTTATTCTACAATTTATACGAACACATTACGTACAGCTTTTAAGGGTGCCCGTTAGCATAATAATTTATTTTGCAATTTTCAAACTATCTTTTTCCTGCGACTCCACTCACGTAGTTTATTTATATTTTTAGTCCATTAAATAGTTTCTTATAAAATACTAGCGATTCGTCCCTAGCTTGCTTCCCAATACAAACTTTCATCCCCACTTTCACCCTTTTAAAGGATTATTTCTGGGATAAAAAGTATCCTATGTCCTTTCTAGGCTCTTAAACTATCTTATTACCAAATTTCATCTAAATCGGTTCAGTAGATCCAGAGATTACCCCCTACAACGCCACAAACTCACAAACTTTACCTCTTTATAATATTAGTATAACCTATCCTTAGACCTTCCTCAATGAAAGAGCAAAATGAAAAAATATTTTTTCAAATCTGACTGGTAGTTATAGTTTAACGTTGAAATAAACAAAAAAAAAACAATCTCTTCAATTTTATAATATCAATATTATTAACATCGCTAATATTATCAAAAAAATAAACAATATATCTCAGAACTTTAGAATAGTGTTGTAGCAGATAGAATTACGGAAACATCAGGCAGATGTAATAATATTCTACACAGTACATAGTGTATGACGTCACAACATTCTTGCCGTCACGGCCGAGTCGGCCAGTGTCGGCCAAGAATTAAATTTGGCATTCATATACTAATGACCGACGCTCGTAATTAGCAACATAAACAGACGGACGCCACCGAATATGGAAACGGGAACGGTTGATCGAAAATATCCAGCGGCGTTTTCCGATTTATTTACGACTTTACGCTCGGTTCAATGTCGATTGACGTTATTATAATATAAATATTGATATTTGATGATAATTTTAGATATTATGAAATATTGGATGGCAGTTTAAGATGTAAATATTTTTAAAGCTTCCTATGAAAATAGTGAAGATTTGAAGGTGATATGATTTCAGTGGACAGATCCGTTCGTATTTATTTATTTTAGGAATGAAATGAATAATTGAACCGACCGTTTAAATCTCGCTTAAAAGAACTTTATCTAAGTGACTCCAAATGATTTCCTTATTATATATTTCTTGCTGTATGTGTATGTATGTATGGATATATATATATATATATATATATATATGTTTGTATATGTGTATATTTATATTATAATTGATGCTTTTACCTACACCGCACCGCATTATTATTTTTATATTTTCTCACGCTTGAGGGTTTCTGGTAGAGATCTCTTAAAGAGATAAGTCATACTTTGTACACATGGTACCAGAAAAAAAAAACATACAAGTGGTATTTTTTTTTCTGGTACATAAATAAATAAAAAAAAAAGAAATCTCGAGCATCGTGAACATTAATCTTCAAGCAAAACTTTCTTCCAGATCTACACAGTAATCAACGACAAACTCGTCGGCCTTTTGATACGAACTAGAAAACATCAATTAACTTTTTTCGAAGGCGAAGTACTTTTTCAGGTAATAAATTTTGTATTTTAAAATGGGATTTGGTTTGATTTTTTATATTTTTTATTGCACTAATGCATAGCTTATGCTAAAGAATGAATTTCATTTAATGAACTTCAAGCATTGTAAATTTTATCTGTACCAATGTTAATTATAAATTCTTAAATTCTCCGTATTTGTAGAATTAATTCGTAAATATTTTCATTTTTAAGAAACGTTTTTTTGTAGTGAATCATAAATTTTTGTCTGTTTATCTGTTACCTGTTACCGCATCACAGAAAAACCACTGGAGGGATTTTTATGAAATTTGGTATAGTGATAGCTGGTTATCCGGGTCAACATATAGGATACTTTTTAACGCGGTAAAATGTCTCATTTATGAGAAAGAATACAAAAACTGCAAGGTAATAGTATACTTAATATGTAAAACCTAAGAATTTGATCTTTGGTCATCAGAACGCGGGCGGAGCCGCGGGCAATGCTAGTGTATTATAAATGTAGATATTATAGTAAAAATAGAAAAATTTAAATTAAACCTTTAGTAAAATAAATATATCCTTTTCAGAAAAGAGACGACGACGTCCCTGTATTTTTAATGCAGCCTATCGACGACATACGGGAATACTGTAACAATAAGGCATTGCAAGCGCGACGATCAGTCTCCCCTATGCCTAATTAAACTTAAAAACCACATACACCTTAGTTAAGTACTGGCAGTGCCCTGTTTTGTAAAAACTATATGTAATTATATAAATAAGAAGTCACATTACAACGGAGTATCTAAAAAATATATTTTTCTTATTAAGACAATTTTACTTTTACAGGAACATTTTTAGGAAAGTCCAAAGGTATGATATTTTTTTTTTTTAAAGATACATTATGTTTTTAGAGTTCCTTAATTAACAAGGAACTCATAGTTTCGCCATGTCCGTCTGTCTGTCTGCAGCTTAGGTCCGAGACTCTTAGTACTAGAAAGCTGTAATTTGGCACGGTTATATGTACAATATACATATTAGTCCGTCGACAAAGTGGTAAAAAAATGGTACTTTAACAGTAATGTCTAATTATCACACATTACTTAATTACTATTTGAATTTAAAATATTTTTTGAACCTACAACACCTTATATTAATAATTCAAACTACTACTAAACGTATACTCGTAGTATACTACAATAAATAAACATATAACCTTTTATAAGTCAATAACAACAAACAAACAGTCAAATCGATTCAATTTGTAGTTATTAGCATTCATTAACGAGCTTTAATTGTATTAATAATCTGTTAGGTCAATGACTGCAACAGTCTATTAGAATAAACCTTGGAAATTCAATTTGTAGGGATTTTAGCTACAGTTATAATCCCTGATAGTCGTCTTCGAATATGACTTATACACCACAAGGCTTTATGTACTGAAAGAAGATAATAATGGAGAACGCTATATTGATTCATCATACTAAGTTGCAATAGAAAGGTTTCCCATTGAATCCATGACTTAAATTAAAAGAAAAAAAAACTGAAAATATGGTGTACATTAGGATATCATGTAAAATCCTAGAGGCCACGAAATAAAATTATTGAATTGAACTGAATCATGTGAAATGGAAACAGATACATATGTTGTAGGTACCAATGATTGTTATAATTATGATACCAAAATTTTGACTTCTGCTGTTATTGTAGGTCACACTAAAGAATTGTTCATTAAAAAATAGAATAATTTACAAAAGATAGCGACACACTTTGCCAGTCTACATAAAATGTGAATAAAATAAGTAGAATAAAGCTTTTTAAAGTATAAATAATATTATGAAAAAAATGTAATTATTTTCATAATGGAAGCACTTAACTAGATTTTAGTTTGTAGGAAGATTTATATTGTAAAGAAGGGACCTATTGTATTATTTTTTGGTTAAATGAATTTGTATCGGTGATCAACATTAAGTTTTGAAAATAAAAATGTAAATTAAACAACAACAAAAGTGTTTGTGACAAAAATATGTATGTAATTAATTAATTTTTAATTAAAAATTAAATATACCATTAAAATTGTTTACCAAAAATTAAAAGAATACCAACTTTTATAAGCAATTATAAAGAAAAAGCTTGAAAATGGTTTATTTAAAGCAAAAATCAACTGGCCAAATTATTTTGTAGGTCTAGATTTCTAGTCATAATTTTACTATAGTTTTAAGTTTCAAAATCAGCGCATCGTAAGATTGTCTTAGATCTGTTTTGTTAAACAAAATTAATATTTTAACTTCAGCAGATTAACAGTATCATGATCAAATGAAGAAATCAACACGCTTTATATATAGAATTTATTTAAGAAATTATGTAAAAAAACCTTTTTCACGATATCAGTATTGTCATGTAATCGATGAACAAATGTAATAATGTAAGTTAATTTAATAATAACATTCAAAACAAAGCAATCCTGAGACATTCTTGTGTATCATCTGAATAAAATATTTTTTTTAAAAGATTAATAAACAAATAAAAATTTCCCATGCATTTTTAATGAAATATATTTTACCTTCTGTATTTTGTCGTATGAATAAGAAGTTGAATTATTCCTGTGCAAGTGAAATAGATCTTTCTATTTGATTTATAAATTACTAATAGATGTTTGTTCTCCATTATGAGTTTGTTCGAATTCTGCGTAATAAATTCATTTCCATTTTCTTATTATTATACACTCTCCAACCCTCCAACTATCTCCACACAAAAAATCACGCCAATCCGTCGTTCTGTTTCGATGTAAAAGAAGGGCAAACGTTTGTTGGTTATTTACACTGATATCTTATATATATATATATAAAAGAAAGTCGTGTTAGTTACACTATTTATAACTCAAGAACGGCTGAACCGATTTGGCTGTAAATTGGTGGGGAGGTAGCTTAGAACCAGGAGACGGACATAGGATACTTTTTATCCCGTTCGACTGCGTTCCCGTCTGACGTGACATAAAACTCAAGAATGGGTGGAACATTTTTTATGATATTTGAATTTTTGGATTTCTCTTAGTCTGGAATAGGTTAATAAGTATTAAAACACCAGAAAAATCAAGAAAAAAAATTTAAGATTTATATGATTAACGCTGGCTAATAACTATTTATATCTATTTAAATCCTAGCGACGAACCCGAGCGAAGCGAGGGTGAGCCGCTAGTTTATAATATATGAAGTGTGGGTTCCGTCGCATACCGTGACATTATTTAATTTACATTGTGATTCATAAAAATTATCAATTTTAATTTGTTACTTTTTTTAAGGAATAGATTGATAAATTTTTATAGAATTAATTTATTTTGCGAATATTTCCTAGGGCCTTTGTGAGTTTTAGTATACTGTATCACGTTCCGCTTCACGTCAATTTTAATTCGTAATTATTGTTAAAAATCAATATTTATTAAAATAAAAATTTTGCACTGGCCCTATTCCTATACTTTTATTTATATAAATATTAAATCTGCATCTTCCCTATTACAGTCGCCATACATATAGCAACTACAGTAGTACGTCGAATTATAATTTTACAAACGACATCGCTACGCGTTCGTGTGGAATGGATAAAAGCGCCTTGCAACACTTAAAATTGCTCGTAATTCGGTCTTTCATTAAGATAATATTGCATAATACTTTACTCGTGTTTATTTCATTTTTAATTTAGTGCAGATAAGAGAGCGGCAAAATTAAAAATATGGTTGATGTTCATTTGTTTTGTATCTCAATCTAAAACAATTTACCGGACGCTTAAAACTCGGAATGGATGAAGTTATTAAAATATTAAATAACAACTTATACAAGCACTACCGATTCACTCTTGCTTCGCTCCGCGTCCTTTAGATGACTATGATCCCCACACCGAAACGCCTAGACAGATTTTGATGAAAAGTAAGAAGTTTATCTGTATATTAAATTAAACCAAAACCTGAACAGCTTTTTCAGTGTGAACTAGTAATAAATATATACAGACAAACAAACTATCGCATTGACAACAGTAGCTCGATTTCAATTGTATTAATTATAGGAAAATTACAAAGGCGATATAGCATGGTTCTAGGACGCCATTATGATTAAATCCGCTTCTGTACAGATTAGTCACAGAGCAGCTGTATAGAGACCAATTTGTCGGGCTAGTTTGAATGTGAATTTATTTTACACACTAACTATTCACAAAATGTAAGAACGATGTGGCAAAGGACTCTATACTCAAGATTACTCGATTACAAGCTTACTGTTTATTATTGAACCTGTTTATAACTTACTAATAATTTTATTGACTTCAAAAAGATAATTGTGAATCGATTAGTACAACGTTTTTTAATGAATAGATTTAAAAACTTCATACCTAGTTGAAATTTTAAAAAACAATCTACCCCAGGGTTAGAATAAACACTTCTAAATGAATTTGAAATTGATGTACATTTTTTCATCTTTAATTTTTAATAATTATATGTTTTCTAAATTTTCTATATTATTAGGTAGGTAAAGATATACGTATAATATATTTTTTATGTTTTATTTTGAACTTTTTAGTTTAAAAATAGTTATACATATTCAAATTATCGTTTTAAATTTATATTATGATGATTTCCTGGATTCCGGCTTTCATAGAGTATTCTATCCCTTATCCTTCCCAGGGTCTCAAAATATCTTCTTACCAAATTTCATTTAAATCTGTTCAGTAGTTTCGGGACCTATTCGATACAAACAAAATAACAAATTGTTCCTCTTTAGTATATTAGAATAGAAAAATAGATAATTAAGAGATAGTAATATTAGACGACGTTTAAAAATATCTAGCGATTTTGATTGGCGAACATCGCGGGGGAGCATGTTCCATAGCTTAATAGTTTTATCAGTGAGAGTTGCCATAGTAATTTCAGGTTCAAAGTAATAATTTCAGACGGTTGTCACCATGAGACCTAAGCTGAATACCATTTAAATATATACCTTACAAAATATCGACATAGATTTATAAAAGTTGTATTGCAGACAACGGTAAAACGTACTATCTTATATCTTTAAACGAGCAATTCTTGTATATATAATCTGAATCCCGGGATCGGCTCCAACGATTTTCATGAAATTTAGTAAGCGGGGGATTTCGGGGGCGATAAATCCATCTAGATTAGTTTTATGTCTGAGAAAACGCGTGTTTTCGAGTTTACATGCAGTTTTCTTTTGCATTATTCCACGCAAAATATAGTTGGTAATTTGCACGCTCGAGCATAAGCATCGTGGTTAAGCGGCCAAGGTGCAAGATCAACAATCACAAGTGTCCAGGTTCGAATCTCGGTTGCATACAAAGTTTTTACTTTTATTTTTTTTAATATTTATTCAAGTTTTTAGTTTAAAAAAAAGAAAATTGTACTTTAGGCCAAAAACAGTCATAGCAAGTAAAAGAACTTATTACCTACCCACAGTGTCTAACATCATTCAATATGGCGTTGTCTTAAAAGACCTCCATCTTTGTAAGTATAAAAAATTTACTTGTGAAACATGAGAAAAAAGTAAATGCCACAAAACTATATCAAGTATGGAGCTTAATCCATTTTACTTAATTTGAAACGCCCTAGAACAAAATGTTTAAGGAAAAGCTCATTGAGTTCTGACGATATGACGATATGCTTTTTTAATTTTACATAAGAGGTTCTTAAATATTCTTCTTCTAATTAATTGAAATTATAATTAACTTTATTATTATAACCTTAAAATAGAATTTTTAAAGAATAAGACTCTAGTGAGAACTAATAGGACCTAATATCTAATTATAAAAGATAATAAAACTAAAGTGTAATGTAAAAATATCTTTATTTTTTTAAATTCCATGAGTTTCTTACAATTAGTACATAATTTCATTCATCTGATAATAAATTAAATTTTTCTCATTAGATCTGTTACATCCAAAATAATTTTAATGCAAATTAAAATTATTTTCTATAAATTAAAATACATTTTAGCAGAATTACAATGGACTAAAAATTTCCATTAAAAATTTTGGGCGTCGGTTAGCTTGGATACGTAAACTGACATCATTTGTCATATTCATTACTTCTATTCATAATTATTATATTAATAAATTCACATAGAAAAGACTTGATTTTACTTATACATATACTTATGTTAAAACACATAATACTTATATAATATTTTGGATACAAACTAACTGTTAACACACACTTTCTATATAAGACGTGGGAAGAAAAATTTAAAATTTTATATGACTACCAAATTACAACCAAAATAAACTACCACTTAATATGAACCGTATGATTGAAATTCTATCTTCGCAACAGAAGATAAACTAAACCATAAAGCCTTAATGTTAAAGTTACAGGTAACCGAAAAAAACATATAATAAGGTAAAGTCCGGTTGTCGCTCTCGTAAGTGACGGATGCAATAAATCAGCTCCTTAGTTTATTTACATTTACCTACTTACAAATTACAAATTATTAATATATTTGTTTTTTGAACTTTAAAGTTTAATAATATGATCTGCCCAAAGTGCAACGATGTTGTTGAGGATTTTGTGTTGTGCAATAAGTGCGGTGGACAGTACCACTATGTTTGTGCCGGGGTTTCGGAGCTTAGCTACAGAAAAATGGGAGTGGAAAAAAAAGCCGGCTGGCGGTGCATTACTTGCCGTTCACCTCAACTCACGGAGACACATCCCTCTTTGTCAGACGTGTTAAAAGAGATAAAAAGTTTTCGTAACGATTTTAGCACGATGAAGGTAGAATTTACTAACATAAAATCTGATATTCAATGCACCATGCAACATATAAAAGAATTGAGCAGCAAACTTGACACAATGGAAGGTCGATTTATTGAATTCGATCGTAGATTGACCTCTTCAGAGCAAAAACTATCTACGTTATCCATTGTGCAAAAAGACTTATTATCGACACAAAAAACTATAGCTGAATTAAAAGCGCAAAATAATTCACACGATCAATATTCGCGACAGAACAACATAGAAATTTCCGGTATACCGACAAAGAAAGGTGAAAACGTCTATACAATATTAAATGACTTATGCGCAACTGTGGGTTTTCAACTGAGCGATCATGATATCGATTCTATACATCGAGTTCGTCCATACCCATCGAGTAGGACGGAAAGCAACAATGAACCTACTCGGCCGGCGTCTATTATAGTGCGGTTTTGCCAGCGGCGGCGCAAGGATCAGCTGATCGCAGCCGTGCGCGCGCGCCGCGGCCTCACCACCGCACACATCGGACTGCCCGGCCCGGCGAGCACCGTGTACATTGGTGATCACCTCACTCCAACGAACAAACTACTACTAAAGCGAGCACGCGAACTTAAACTCGAAAAAAACTATTCATACTTGTGGGTTAAAGACAGCAAGATACTTATTCGTAAAAATGATAATTCTAATATCATACGTATTTCGTGCGAGAGTGACCTACTTAAAATTAAATGACTATTTGTGTCATCGTTGTTCGTCGATTTATTAATATTTATAATGTTATTTTTTCTTTTTCCCTTATGTTTTACGCATTGTTCTAAAATAAGCTTCTTATGTTTACTCCGAACGCATAACGTCTTTGTTATTAATTTATTTCATTATTATCTGATATTCATTATGCAGAAATACATGCACTTATCAATAGCAATAGATACAACAAAAATCACTCACATACACCAGTTATTTGTATATATTGTACCCACGAATTTTATCAACAACTATAAAGAAATACTAATTGGTATTACATACTGCCAATCATATTGTTTTATATTTTTGTCCTTTATGTTCTTTTTTATAGATTTTAACGATACAAGCCCGAGAAAGGTACTTTACAATACCTCAGAATTTATCACAATATTATTATTTTTTTATATAATAATTTATTTATATATCATAATTGTCTTGTTTGTATTTTTTATATATTCAATCTGATTTCGTTTAATTCCTTATCAATTTACTACCAGAACGTAAGAGGATTACGCACTAAATCACACTCTTTCTTAGCTAATGTTCTACAGAGCGACTACGATTTAATTGTCTTGACCGAAACCTGGCTAACTCCGGATTATCACGATGCAGAATACTTCCATACCAAATACATTGTTTTTAGGCAAGATAGGAAATCCACAGACGGGCAGGGCGCGCGGGGCGGCGGCGTGCTCATAGCGGCACGACGCGAACTGCGCGCGCGGCCCCGGCCCGAGTGGCGCTCGAGGCCCGCCGCCGAGGAGCTGTGGGTGACGCTCGAGCTTGACGCCGCCACGACCGCTGCGGTGGGGGCCGCGCGCCCCTCCCGCCCCGCGCCCCGACCCTGTCGCGCCGCTAACGCTTCCTCCAACTTGCATGTAGCTTGCTGTTACTTCCCGCACGGTAACAATCATTCTGAATCTTTACAAAACTTTTACGACAACACATTTGACATTTTGCAAAATAATCTAAATGATAATTTTCTAATACTTGGAGATTTCAATATTTCTAACGCTAGTTGGGATAGCTTTAACGATTCGACTCAATCATTTAAACTAAGTACAAATAGCGACGGCTTAGCGGGGGACTTGTGCGATTTTATGAATTTATCCAATTTTAGGCAATACAATGGCTGTGTAAATAGCAACGGACGAGTTTTAGACTTAGTACTTAGTAGCGATAAGTGCACTGTGTCCAATTCTACCACGCCGTTAACCCCAGAGGATGCGCATCATAAATCTTTAGATATAACTCTCAATCTACAAACGCATGCTTTTATACAAAACGTAAAAACGCGTCTCAAACTAATTTATCATGCGGCTGATTTTAAAGCGATTGGCAAAGAAATATCGCGAGTCAATTGGATTGCTGATCTAGCCACCTTAAATACCGAAGAATCCGTCAGTTACTTTTATAATATTTTACAGAATTTAATCGACGTGTATATTCCAAAAAAACCTGTTAAATCACATTCTAATTACCCTCCTTGGTACTCCCGTAATCTTATAAAATTAATACGACAAAAAATGAATAAGCATTCTAAATGGAAAAAATACCGAAATAACCGAGATTATCAGTTGTACTCTGCCTTACGTTCTCGAGAAAAACGAGTTGAACGTGAATGCTACGAACGATATATAATTTTCTCTGAAGATAAGATTTCAACCTTCCCAAAATATTTTTGGTCATTTGTCAAATCTAAATTTGGCTCCAATAATATTCCTGCCGAAATGAAATTTAATAATGTATCTTCCAATAACCTAGAAACAATCACTAACATGTTTAACGAATATTTTAAGTCAGTTTTTGTCCCTCAAACTGACACAATTAACAGCCACATTGCCGTTGATGACGAGGTCAATATGTCTTCAGTTAATATATCGACTGTTGATATTCAACGTGAAGTTGTCTTAAAGCACTTTGAGCAAGTTAATGTAAATAAAGGTGCCGGTCATGATGGTATTCACCCAGTTTTAATAAAAAAACTTTGTAAAGAGCTTTCAACTCCACTTACTATTATTTACAATAAGTCCATAACTGAAGGCTGTTTCCCGAGTATATGGAAAAAAGCTATCATCACCCCCATTCCTAAAGGGGGTGATATACACGACGTAAAGCAATATAGACCCATATCAAAGTTAAACATTTTTGGTAAAATTTTTGAAAAAATTATAACTAATATACTTACCTCTCACTTGTATCATGTAATAGCTCCCGAACAACATGGATTTTATCGTGGTCGTGGTGTAAATTCAAATCTTGTGATGTACACTGACTTTTTGCTTAATGCTCTTGATGTAGGTCATCAGGTTGATGCAGTGTATACTGACTTCTCGAAAGCGTTCGATAAGATTAATCATTCTGTTTTAATAAGGAAGCTTTCGAGAATTGGTATACACGGCGATCTTCTTAGATGGGTATGTTCATATATAAACAACCGTAGCCAAGCTGTTGCACTCAAGGGGTATGTCTCTAATTTTGTGGAAATCTCGTCTGGAATCCCTCAAGGCTCTCATTTAGGGCCGTTTTTATTTACTTTATATATAAATGATATGAACTCTTGCATTAGAAACTCTCATCATTTGTTATACGCTGATGATACCAAAATTTATAAAATTGTCCGTTGTGATGATGATTGTCTTGAGTTACAGCAAGATTTATATCAATTTGAGCAATATTGTAATAATAATCATTTGTTCCTTAATGTTGATAAATGCTGCGTAATAACTTTTTCTAGAAAACATCAGCCCCATATTTATAAATACAAATTACTAGGAAATACTCTGAACAGAGTAACCGAAGTTCGTGACCTTGGTGTCACGCTAGACTGCAAACTGCACTTTAACCTTCATGTTGACAAAATTGTAGCTAAAGCTTTTAAGCGTTTAGGATTAATCCTCCGTCTAAGCGAACCTTTTACTCGAGGTAATACACTAAAAATACTATATAACGCGTATGTGAGAAGCATTCTCGAATTCGGAAGTATTGTATGGAGTCCTCAATATATGGTACACATCCAAAGAATTGAAAAAGTGCAACGGAAGTTCGTGAAGTCTCTGGACTATCGTACTGGTTTTTATTATACCGACTACGAGGAGAGTTTGACAAGACATAATATGCAGCTTTTGCACTCCAGGCGTAATTATTTAGATACCATATACTTATACAAAATTGTTAATAACTATGTAAACTCCACAGATTTATTAAACCTCATCTCTTTCAAAATTCCCCGCTCCTCTTCCTCTCGTTCCAAAGATACATTTCATATACCTTCATATCATACTAGGTATGCAAAAAATACCTTTCTCAGGCGTTCTTGTTCATTCTATAATAATAATTTAACTGTTGTTGATATTTTTTCGTGTAAACTAAGTATGTATAAAAAGCAAGTGTTTCGTATAATATTCTAACTATGGGCTTTTATTGTTTATAGTTTGTACTATGATAATATTATTAAAATTTATTTGTTACTATTACTATAATTGCTTTCTATATTTTGCCAGTAGGTACAAACCAATCAATGTTTTAGTTTTTCGGAAATTTTGTATAAACTTATTTATTTCTAAATATTGTATAAGACATATGTATTTTTGTTTCTTTTTTAGTAGCTTCAATTTAGTTTTATTTAATATTTTTTTTTTATTTAATTTAGTTTCACTTATTTTGGTAAACATACTTATTTAGCATCCGTCACTTTTGATGACAAATCAGTTCATTTGTAATAATTTAGGGTAATATAGGTCTAATTGTATCCTTACTGTTTTAGATTTTTTGTTTACGACTGTTTTTACCTGAATAAATAAATAAAATAAATAAATAAAAGTAAAGTTAGTTACATGGCAAAGGTCACCATAATAATTCATCTCAATATGCGAACGACCGAGATTATCTGAATCATAGCTCACTACGCTAGCCAAATACAGTATGGCGGACTTCGCAATACGTCTTTCAAAAATAGTTCGTATTTAATAACTTACTAATGTAAATAAAAACACAATAAAAAATAATATTAGAAATACAAGTCTTTGAAGATATAAATCAATTTTATCTTTCGCTTTTTCACTTATTCATTAGACATTCAATTAATTTATTATACCTATTAAATTTATTTAATTTTACAAACATTGAACATCCATAGAATAGTATAAAGTTAGACATTTTTAAAGTTACCCCAAATCTTTAGTAGACTGTAACGTAAAAATGTCACAAACTTTGGTTGGTTGCAATTTTAAATTTTCACTCCAACTTGGTACCGGATCGGAGTTGGCGCTCGGAATCAATGAACTTTCTTGGAAACCGACAGCGTAGTGACGGCGACATTTTGGGTACTTCTGAAAATAAATAGCACATAAAGAGGCGAAATCGAAATAGATATTGATATCTTTAATTGCAACATCCTTTCTATAACTATGATGACGACACGTTTGGCTCAGTTTGTAGTACCCTACTTGCTGTGCCAGCGGTCGCGGGTTCGAGTTCCGCTGGGGATTTGTGTGATGAGCACGAAGGTTTGTACTCCAGTCATGGATGTTTATATTTATAATATTATGTATGTATTTAAAGTTATATATGTGTAGTGTATCAACTATCTGGTATCTATAACACCAGCCTCGTAGCTTACCATGGAACTAGATGGCGCTGTGTGTTAACGTCCCGACATATTTATAACTAAGATATTTTGGAATAAAATTATTAGTAATGCGCCTTGAGTCTGATTAGCCATTCTATGTACCAGGGTAAAAACTTTCCTATATCATTATGCACCAGTGCATAACCCAAACTAACCTACTACTCTCTAGTCACTGCGCATTTTTAATCGAGTTGCTATTTTAAATGCGATATGTGTTAAGTTAGCGATTTTGAGTGCGTTCACCTTGGGAGGGGGAGGAGTGGGGGAGGGGGGGAGGATGGAGGGGGGAGGGAGGTCCTCAGTTGTGTGCGGAGCTAAGAAACGCGCTGGGAAGCAGTCCACCTCGGTGGACGGTGTGCTATGAGACGACGACGGTGGTTGAGTGCGTCAGCGATCCTGCGATGCCCTATTTAGACGGGGGAAGTTTTGTTGGGTTTTAGTGGGTAGTACTGGCTTTGCCGGTGAGTCCCACACCTCGTGCCTAAAAATGCATTTCCTAACGTTGAAAAAAGGTTTAGTCGTTCTGTCTGAGTGAAGGAGTAACAAACATAAATACACATACAAACTTTCGCATCTATATTAGTATTCCGATTTATTAAAGAATAAGCCTTAAAGTTGTGAACCTTTTAAGAGCGAAACGATTATATAAAAATTGAAAACAGTTTTCTTTATTTAGATAAGTAAATTCTATTTGTATTTTCCTCAAACTTTTGTTAATTATTATTATTGAATTCGGGACACTAGATTATTAAAAATAATACTAAATTAACAGATGAAGAAACTTAAAAAGTATTGGTTCGTTGTGATGATCTCGAAGATTCGTGCTTGAAATATTATGTGAAAATTTTTGAAGGAACTAAATTTTCGAATCATTTTTAAATTAGTGTAACAAAACATATTTAGTAAATCTGAAGTAACCGTTCTAAGTTTCTAGGCACCTTAACGAGCACAAGTATGCAGTAAATACGAGCATCTAGCAGTAAACTTTCTAACAATGCGCAGTATTCACATTTCCGGAACTTAGCACACCTATTTGATTTACTTTATAAATATATAATACTAGTAGAACCCGCAGATTCGCTCGCGTTAAAACTACAAAAAATCTCTAGAAGGGTAGTTTCATACAAACTCTCACTCCCTGTTTTACCTCCTTATAGGATGAATTTTGAAAAATGCTAAGACATGTTTAAGTAGAAGAACAGAAGGACAAACAAACAAACAACCAAGCAAAAAAACAAACAAACAAACAAACAAACAAACAAACAAATAAACAAACAAACAAACAAACAAACAAACAAACAAACAAACAAACAAACAAACAAACAAACAAACACACATTCACATTTATAATATTAGTGGATTTTGTGGATAAAATACAAAACCTTACTTTACAATCTAATAATACTATCCCTAACATAAATAACAATTTCATTGGATTTACATAGAAATGAATCAATATAATTTTTATTTATACAAAATATTATCTTATGCTCATTGTACTGTAGATGACTTTTTACAATCGCTAGTGGGAATCTTAGAAATGTATGTCACATTATTTCATTCATAAAACATTTTTTCTATAACTATATGTAGAAATCAATTTCTCTATAAGATGCTCCAGTTCAGCAACTGGAGCTTATTACTATTTGCCATTATTTAGATTTAAAAAAAGTAAGCGTTATTTAATCGACTTATCTGTGTAATAAAAAACAATGAAATCTATTCAGTCAATAGTAGACTTTTCACACAAAGACAAATAAGGTTTTAGCTTCCATTAAATCATTTTTCATTTCATTTTTATCATTTTCATTATTAAATTATTTACTTGCGAATATGTTTACAAGATATTTTCCCATCATTTTGTTACGTTTGGGCGCCAATTGCCTATTTCAATTCAATTTGCCTACAATAGGAATGTTATGAAATATTAAGGAATTCTAAGAAAACGTAATTGAATGAAATATTCACGTGCAGAAATTTTCTGTATATTTTTAAATTGACTATACTATGTTTAATTATGTGAGTAATAAAATTTTGTTTATCTGGAATAAAAAGTTGAAATTGTCTTGAATAAATTATATGAGTTTGTCCATAAAAAAAGGCTTTATTCAAATCATAAGAAATGTGTCAACAAAAATTAGTAGAATCAGGTGTTTTTTGATACTTGTTCAAAAAGTTAATGGAACTTACATTTATTGGACGATTTTTCTCTTTTGTAGTAGCTTTACAGCCGAAGTGTTCTGGATCTGCCAGTATTCCTGTTACAAAAATAAAGATTAGATATGTCTTATAAATCTAAGAAAAATTTTATAATTGCTTATTAAATGTTGTAATAGTAATAAATGTTGGGACATTAACACACAGCGCCATCTAGTTCCATGGTAAGCTACGAGGCTTGTGTTATGGATACCAGATAGTTGATACACTACACATATATAACTTTAAAGACATACATATTATAAATATAAACACCCATGGCTGGAGTACAAACATTCGTGCTCATCACACAAATGAATGCCCCCAGCGGGACTCGAACCCGCGACCGCTAGCACGTCAAGTAGGGTCACTACCAACTGAGCCAACGTGTCATCAAAAAAAGTTATACACTAAAATTCGCTACTCCGGCCTTATTTGATCTTATTTAAATTATAAAAATTTGTAGCCTTCGCGGTTTTTAAACGTCAGCTGGGATTAATGGATTTAGTTTAAAACCTGTTAAAAAAAACCGCAGATGTTTTTAAATATGTAAAACTATCTTTTCAAGTTTTAAGCGAATCCATTTAAAATGTGAAATCAATTAAGGATTTTACGAGGAGTTTGTGATTCAATTTACTAGAAATATACAGCTTTATTCAAATATTGTTTAAATTTAATTTGTACAAATTTGTGGTGAAATTATTGGTCTTTTGATGGTCCATTGGTTGAAGTAAATGAAGATAAACACGCACAGAAAGCCGGCAGTTTAATTAAATAAATAAATTTTAACGGGACTTTTAAAGGACTGACGTTTAAAGGTTTCTGCGGGAATAACAAAGCTTTATAGTTTATTGTTAGACACCACAATTATTATGATTTTTGCTGAGTAATATTCAGAAAATATCTAAACCGATTTTAACAGAACAAAAAGTTCGTGTAAATTCGATATATATATTTTTAGTCGTAAGGTAGTAAAACTAATTTAATTACTGTTAGTGTCGCCGGAACTTCCACTACAGAAGATGCTTTTCAGTTTCTTGTTAATAGTCTTCATATCCAGGGTATAAGAGCCATAAACCAGAGGATCCATGCAGGAATTTGAAACTGCCATAATGAAGAACATATCCTGGACTCGAGCTGACACATGCACTGCTGATTTACGATCCAACATATACCTGATAAAAAATTTTTATAGCCAAATTATGAATATGATTGAATGAATATTTTTAGATTATTTGCATATAGTATCTGGCCTGAGCTCGATTTTAAATATAATTTCGAAAAATTTAATCAGACCTTTATTATAGCAAACCGGTAAAATGTTTTGAAATTCAAAATCTCTTACGATTACTTAAGTACTTCAAATTTTATCTTGCCTATTATATCAAAAATGTATACAAGAATATCCAATCAATAGAAAAATATAAGGAAGATTTTAGATTTCCGATACATTGTTAAATATAGCAGACTGGCTTATAAAAAAGCTAACTGAATATTGTCAGTAAATTGAGGCATTGACGCTATACGCTGTAATATACCTGTATTACGAATAATGGAAATGTCTATTTAGTCCGAACAACTTGTACGGCAACACTGGCAACTTATGTTATCTAACAGCCTAAAATATTTATAACTTATTTTTGTATATTTCACCTATATATTTTTGAAAAATAAATGTTTTTATTATTGCTATTTTTACCTATTTATATTTCATGGGCTTAAATTAAGCCGGTCCTTTGGAAGACCTTGTATATTCGTTTGGAAGGATATTTTAGCTGATATCTCATCTGTGAATAAATATAGGAAAATGACCAAAGATGTTCACTGCATAGCGCTAAGGGACTATGGAAAATGTAAAAAACTAAAAATAACTATGGAATGAAGCCTCGATGGACTACCAAACTATAATAACAAAAAACTATAATTTAAAGTTATATGTATTTCGTAAAGGTTGTAGTGGTACATAGGAGGAGGAGAAATGGAAGTTTTTTGACTCATACTAAATTAGTAAAAAGAAAAGATAATTTCATCCAAGATTTTATTATATTCTTTATTGCACTTAAAATATGATACAGAAAAAAATAACAAAGTAAACATAGTTCACAAAGGTGGACTTGTCTCTAAAAGAGATCTCTTCTCCAGTCAACCCCTGGTTGTGGAAGAAGATGTCAGCGGGCAATATAGTGCAAAAAAAATTACTAAATATATACTAGAAATAAAGGTAATAATAATCACTTATACATACATACATACATACATATATACATACATATATACATACATATATACATATATTACATATAAAAGTAAAGTTTAGGGTGGATTATTTAGAAAAAAATTAGGTTATGTAGCGTCCGACTTTCCGGTTTTCGTTGAAAATACGATAACCTCTTTGAAGGAATACCTTCAGTTCAGATACCGTGTTTTAATTAACCTTCAACTCTTCATTTATTTTAAAGTTGAGATTCATTTACTCATCTTCAATATGTTTAAAATCATCCCAGTCACAGGTCAGCTAAGGGGATGTATATGACCAATATACAAATTATATTTTCTGCTTTACATTGATTTTACTAAACATGTGTATCCATTGCATATATATTATAACATGCGAAAATTTTATTGAAGTAGTAAAAAATTGGGTACGATTTAGTATATAGTATTATTACTATACAATAATTTTAAACAATGAAAGAAAATAGCTTTACGAATACGAAGATGCTAGTTAAACTAGCAAACAAAATTATATAAAGAAAAGAAATTCCTACTCTTCTTTTACAATAAAACAAAATTTGGAACAAGTTTTGTAATCAAGTTTAATGTTCCAGAATTTGAAGGTAAGACTGCTAAATTCAAATAACGTTTTCTAGTTGATGCTTGTATTATATCTTATAAAGGAAACCCAGCAAGCAGTCTTACTTTAGAGTTATGAATACATTTAATTAATAAAAATTGCGTAATATTATATCCTTTTTAGATCTTTAAAAGGATTTCTTTTTATACATTATTTTATATATTAGTTAACTCAAAATCGATTTTCATCTATGGAATCAAATTAAATCAAATTAAATTTCACTCATACTTCCTTTGACCAGCGACCCTAGCCTATTAACCAAAAATATGTACTGTAATGGGCAAATATCTCTATTAAGGTCTTGTAATCTATACATATAATAAAATTGTAACTAAGCCGAATCTGTACATTAAATATTTTTTTGTCTGTCGGTCTGTCTATTACCGCATCATGGGAAAACCACTGGATAGATTATGATGAAATTTGGTATGGTGATAGCTGATTATCCGGATCAACATTATTACCGCGGGAAAATGTCTCATTTCTGAGAAAAAACACAAGAAGTAAGAGTATACTTATATGTAAAACCTAAGAATTTGGTTTTTTTCATCTGAACGCGGGCAGAGCTGCGGGCAATGCTAGTGATGAAATATATTTTTTAAAGTATCAAAAAGTATTTTCAATAGACATCTAAACATTAATTACATAAAATATTTTACATATTAATCTTAGTTTCTTTTATATTTTTATTTTATACAGATAACATAGAATATATATTTGAGGTTTGTTTGTTGTATGATTATGTTGATGTTTAAGATTTGTGGTACCGTGGACTATTTTGTAAATCTACGCATATGCCATAAATTGATTTCATTTACTTACAGCTGTTTATGCAGCGTATATCCATAAATCAATGAAACTCCCATAAGTTAAAACAATTACGTCTGATGACACTAAAATCTCTCTGAATTCTCCAGAAAAACTTTCGCTGTTACGCATGGCTTGTAAGAATGTACCCACCGCATGCGAGAATCTCTACCCAATATCAAATTCGTAGGTCACGCAATATTAATGATCGTATCACATCAACACACAGGTTGATATACCTAGATGAGCTATAATATAAAATGTTGATATACTATACTAATACTTCTTTGGGGCAGTGCCGCGGAAATTAATTCGATATTTATTCTTCAAAAAAGAGCAGTACGGGCTATTTATGATTTAACGCGTGAATTCGTAAGTGGCTATATAACTTGTTCCCAACAACAAGAACAAGCGACCAATTTCGCTTTTTGCGAAATGCATATAAAAGTATAAATGGTACTTATAAAAAAAACAACTTTTACAATTTTTGTTTATTTGTTTGTTCCGGCTAATCTCCGAATGGCTGGACCGGTTCTGACGGAAGTTTAACTGGCAGAGAGCTTAAGTTATATGGAGTAACTTAAACTACTTATATTTTGGAAAAAGAATTAGGATTCCGCGCAAAAAAATTAAAACCTTTGAAATTGTGAAAAAAATCCGCGTAACCACGGACGCACCCGAGCGAAGCAAGGGCTTACCCTTGCGACTTATCGCTAGTCACAAATAAAAAACTTTATAAAGATATCTTATACACAGTTGATTGTTTATTTATATGCCAAAAGATAATTGACTCAGATTGACTCTACGTGAAAACCGTTGAACAGATTTGATGCTATATATAAACATCAAATCTATATCTCAAATCTGTGATATATATCACAGCTGCACACTAGACTATCTATAATATTATACCTCTAGGGAGCTTTCGAGTATAATAGGGTGGAATGTCATTGAACGGAATAAATCAGAACATGATTTGTCATTATAATATACAAGTAATCTACCAACAATTGTAATAAACTGTCTTTAAAAAAAGAAGAGGGACCAAATTTTGGTAAATATAAAAGTACTGTATTTTTTAAGAAAATTATATTATATATTAATCTTTGAATATCATATTATGTTAAAATATATTTTTCATTATAATATTAAAAAATAACTGCATTTTTTTCAATATTCTAGCTGTGAAGATATTGTGGCATATTATAAAGAAAATTAATTTAATAAAATATCTAAGAAAACCGATGATTTTGCAATATATTGTTTTATGAAAAATCGTTGCATTGCCCTTTTAACTTTTTACAGCTAAAACAATCTTTCTCATAAAACCTGAAGTAATTTGAACCTAATAGTTCATTTATATTAATCATAAATTTAATTCCGAAGCTTTCATTTTTATTTCAGGATAAGATCTATCTTATCCTGAAATAAACTATATTAATAACTATATATAACTATATATTTACATGATATACTCATTACAATTTTTAGCCATCAACGGCACCTACTTTCGCATCTTAGTATTGCAATTATCTCAGTAAACTGTTCTTAGAAAGTGTGTTCATCATACTTAGAGAAGTATCTCATACTAAAATTATTTTAATTTATTTTAAAATCCACGTAGACTACACTCTCAAAAAAACTGTTACTCTCATGTTTATTTGAATATCCTTTTTTGATAAAATTTCTTTCAAGGACACAGTTGCTGGTAACTCCAACACAGTTTATAGATAATAGTTGTAGGCACACACATTCTTTTTTATACTTTTCTATCTTTCATTAAGACCATTTTATTAACCTTTTTTATAAATTACGTTTTTGACAGAATTTGTAAAAAGAAAAAGAGTGACATTCAAAGACGTACAATTAAACGTACGATTTTTATTTCTATTTAAATAAAACAAATTGAAATAATCTAATATTGCTGCAATGGCCATATTATGGCTGACTTATTAAGTCAAATACATAGAAGGTAAATTTCTAAGAAATTAATAAAATTTCTAAAAAACCTATTATTAACTGTAACGCCGGCGTGCCCGCGGTCGTTGAGGGATTAAATTACATATTTAGGGATTGACAAGTAGATACAGATCTGCAGCATTCGCGGTAAAAATAAGATTTTAATCTTATATATTAATTTTGTATATTATATCTCTAACTTTGTTTACTTAATTTTTTTTGTTTTAAAGAAAAGAACTATTTGCGCACTTCATAATATTAGTTTTAGAGTATCTATTGTTAAGTGTGGTGGTGAACTTAAACAAAATAAACAGGTGCACTCTCTATGATATCACTCTCGTACTCGTAACCATGCGAAGGAACGGCTAATGTTAACACAACCATCTAGATCTTAGACAATTTCAGAGTACCACCAAGATTTAAAAAAAAGGCAAATATTTTATATATTTACGAGCACTTATTTAACTTGTAAATTTTCTTTGTTCTAAAAAAAATTAAATAATTGCAAAAAAAAACATTTTTAAAAACAAAATTTTATTTAAATTCTCCAGAAAGAAGAATATAAACTTTAAATTAAATCAAACCCATTAATTTATTACATAACATGATTTGTATCCCGTAAATCTCGCGACAACCTTTAATATCATATAAATTATTGTGTAATGTAATAAACGGGTTTGATCAGTTGATGGGAAAATTTACCCAAAATTATTTTCTTTTTGGAGAATTTAAATAAAAGCTTGTTTTTTTTTAAATGTTTGATAACAATTATTTTATTTTATTCAAGATAATGACGTATATAGAGAAAAATGAATGTTTCATACAAATGGAAAGAATTATCCAAATTGTTTATTTATTATTAGAATTTTTCAATGTAATGTAATATTAGGTAATTTACTAGATTTTGTTTCTAAAACATCAAAATCATAGGCATCATATTTCAAAGCAGATTTAGTAATTAAATAGTTTGATAGCCTTTTGACACTTTGTCTCTATACAAAGTTTGTTAATTGAAGTAATGTAATTAATACCTCAATCATGTCTAAAGTGCGTGATATAATAATTTTAGTCCAGTTAAGAATTATAATTTACTAGCAGAAACCGCGGCTTCGCTTGCGCTAAAACTACGAAAAATAACCCTAAATAGTTAGGTTCCATATAAAATCATACCCTTATGGGATGAATCTCGAAAAAACCTAAAATACGTATTTATTTAATTATATTGAAGAGCATTAATACCAAGTTAGAAGTAATTCTGACCATAAATATTATTTGGATTGTATTATAATGTGTTTTCTCGTGGGAATGAGATATATATACAAAAAGCCTTTAGAGCTGTTACGTCGAGCACATTCCTATTATATTTAACCGCTTCGTTTCTCATACACTGTATATAGCATTAGCAGAAGTGGATGCCTTATTAAGCTTTGTATTTGTCAATTTCTTGTGCTACTACTTGAATTTCTAAGTAGGTAACTACTGCTGAAACTTGGTAGTGGCGTCAGTAGGGTGAGCAAACTTTATGCAGTATAATTAGTTATTCTCAGAATATTATCCTGGATAATCTGTATACTTGATTTTCAATTGACACTACTACTATATTTGTATAGGTACCATAAAATCATAATATGATCTTTTCGATTATATATTTATGTGTATAATTATTTATGATTGAATTTTGGCTTTTTTGAATACATTTCTAATTTTAAAATTTTCCTTGGTAAATTAAAAATATTTATCATATTATTTAAGTTAAGTTTGTTTAAATAAATTGTCGTAAAATATAGGAAAATGAAGTATCTAAGCGTTATATTAATGTTATAACATATCATTCTTAAACATTCTTTCGTTTTCTCCTAGCAAAATGTTATAGAAATGAACTTGTTTCAGAGGGCTGATATTATGTTATTCATTTTCTCATAGTAATTTATCGATTATCGAATTGATTTAGTTTAAAAGTGTTATTTCTATTAGTAATAATAATAAATGATTACAACTGCATCTTATAAATAATAAATAAATATGTCAGGACATTAACACACAGCACCATGTGTTCCATGGTAAGCTACGAGGCTTGTTCTATGGATACCAGATAGTTGATACATTATACATATATAGCTTTAAATACATACATATTATAAGTATAAACACCCACTTTTGTACTCATGTACAAACATTCGTGCTCATCACACAAATGAATGCCCCCAGCGGGACTCGAACCCGCGACCGCTGGCGCAGAAAGTAGGATCACTACAAACTGAGCCAAACGTGTCGACCTTCGTCTTTCGTCCTTATACTTTTGAAACTCACCACAAAGTCATAGTTGCGTACGGCAGCCAGCAGAAGGCGAACACGCTGACGATAGTGACCGTCATGCGGAGTGTGCGACGCCTCGCGCGGGCTAGGGGTCGTTGGTCTGATCTTCTCAATTGTATACGCCCTGTATCTGCGGTTGCTGATTTGCCTAAATGGAAAGTTAGTTTAACAATAATATTTTTCAAAGTTTTAACTTAGTTATTTAGGTACGGACAAGTTAAGTTTGGACTAGTTAAATCACTTGGACCAAAATTCTTAATTTGTTGATATGCCTCAAACATGACGTATTAAACAACTGTTTATCTGTGACTGTATTCAGTAATTCGATGTTTGCTAAAAATGTCTTGAAAATAAAAATAAATATAGATCAAATTAACAATTTCATGCATTTGACTTTTATTTTTAAGTATAGCTATTGTATTTAAGACAATGATATTACAGGTGAACCATCTCGCAGTATTATGACCGGAAGTAACGCACCCGAGCGAAGCGGGGCTAAGTTAAATAAAACTCAAATTGGTCAGTTGGCCAAATCTTAAAAACCATAATTATAAATTTTAAATTACTGAAATATAAAAAACTAGATATACTGAAATATAAAAATAGATAAAAAACGATAGAAAAAATGACATATGTACGTATATCAAAGTTATGTCCTCCCGACCGATTCGGCCACGACGACTAAACTCATTGAACCTACCAATCAGCGTACGAGATATTATAGTGCAAAAATGTGGATGTGTGGATGTTTGTTACTCTTTTATTACTGAATGGATTTTCATGAAACTTTACAATAATATAGCTCATACATCAGAATATAATATAGGCTAGTTTTTACCCCGGAAAAATGTATGGTTCCAGTGGGATAGATTTGTTTTTGTTTTTCTAGACGCGAACCCGAGGGAGTGTATGCTGCTAGTTATAAAAAAGGATGTTGCATAAAATACTTAACTCTAAACATGAATCCTTAGTCAAATTAATTCTAATTATAATTTAGTTTTGATAAGTTAAGTTAAGATAAGTAGGTATATCATAATGGAAAAAAATCAACGAATTAAACAGAATAAAGTAATACGATCAAAATCTAATTTATTATAAAGAAGAATTCTTTTCAATAACATTTAAGTAAATTGTCTCTGAGCACAGTATGATAATGGATTATGTTATAAATAACCTGTTAACATAGAGAAAGAGAAGAAAAATAAATATAGATATTACGATCTAACGATATTATTTTTTATAATCCTTTATTAAAAAGAAAGCGTGCTCTTTGATTATACCAGTGATTTTTACTTTTGGAACTTATATTATCGATTGTTGTTTTTGTTCTTTAACTATTGTACCTATGTATTTATTTCCTTTTACTTTTTGTGTGACTAAGATTTAATTAAAAGTTTTTATTTTTCCATTTTTAGTGTTGACGTAATAAGCAGGTAACATATTCAAGCAATTTATTTAAAAATATATTTTATTGTTGATTTTTAAAAAACCTCTCGACCGATTTCGATAAAATTTATATGAAACCACCTGGGAAGTATACCCTTCAAAACAAAAAAAAAATACCAAATCTGTTCAGTCGTCTTCGAGTAATCGATGAACTCACATTAAAAAAAAAACAAATATTCCGACGAATTGAGAACCTTCTCCTTTTTGGAAGTCGGTAAAAAAAACCAAACATTAAAAAAATTGGATAGAATTTTGTATATTAATAGGCTATGACTTTCTATTATGTTGCAATACATTAACGCATACAGCCTGCTTACATACAGATGGTGATGTGAAGACTAACCGCCTAAAAAAACCAGTACTAGCCAGTAAAACCTAATGAAACCTTCCCCGTATTAATTAATAATAATAATAAATTCTTTATTGATATAGTTTTATACATACATACATAGGTGATAAAAATTTCCCTAGCTCATGCGCTCGTTAAAAACTTTGTTGCAGGAGCCAAAAAAAAGGAAAAAAAGCCAATAAAAAGAGCCAAAAATTGGTGTCGTCACTTATGCACTCAACCAAGCCTCCCCGAAGACTGATCACCAAAGATGACCAAAACAATCAAGGGATTTCCCCGACGGCCACGGTACTCTGCTATCAGTCGTAGCAGCAACTCTCATGGTACGCCCCCCACAGAAGTGGGACAGCTCGCAAGTGTGGTTCTTGACTCCAACCCAGCTGAATTACCGAACGCTTTTAATAAAAAATCAACCTACTACACTGCATATTTTTACATATTTTTTTTTTCAATATAAGTCTTCGCCTCGTACAATACAAATAAGTCTACAAAGTAGACTTTTTAATTAAATGTATTAGCACTAATTAGCGTAATATATTTAATTGAAACGTAATTACGTTCATTAGTCAAATGCCGCCCTTAATTATATATCAATGTTATTAAATTTTACCGGCTATTTGATAGTGATGGAATTTTTATCGTAGTATTTAAAGTTAATCTTTTTAAAAATATGACTCAATCACAAATTCTGTCGTGACATAAATTATAAAGTATAAAAAAATATTTCAAGTAAATATTTTTTTTAACAATAACTCTATACTAATATTATAAAGAGGAAAGATTTGTTTGTTTGTTTGTACTAAATAGGCTCCGAAACTACTGAACTGATTTAGATTAAATTTGGTAAGAAGATAGTTTGAGACCCTGGGAAGGACTTGGGATAGTTTTTAATCTGGAAATCATTCCTTAAGAGTGAAAATGGGGATGAAAGTTTGTATGGGAAAGCAACCTAGGGACAAACCCAAGCGAAGTTAGGGTGAGTCACAAGTATTTAAAAAAATTCAGTCGCTCATTTAAAAATAAATGAAAAAAGTATTTTTTATTAAATTCTATTTACATATAAATTATTCTTTGAAATAATCATTCAATAGTTTAAATAATTTTTAATTGACTATTTATTCACTTCCGTAACGCCCAGCGTACCGTTTCCGTTACAATAATCGTAACGCCAATCCTTGTTTTCCATCTTATGGCATGCCTAAAGAAATTTCACTTCAACAATATTGTAGCTTATACAGAACTTACCCGACATATCCTTAGAGTTTGTATGTATTTCCCAAAAGATACAGGCGTAGCAAACTGTTATAATGACGAGAGGTAAAAAGTACATCGCCAGTAAACACATGACGTTGTACGCCAACTCTTGATATTGATTTGAGAAAGCTTCGAATGATACGCACTGCTGAAACTCGGGAACAGTTGGATGGTGCATCACTCGGAAAACTAGACTCTAAAACAAAAGACACAATAGTTCTTATCTATCTATACATATAATAAAATTGTAACTAAGCCGAATCTGTACATTAAATATTTTTTTGCAAAATCTTATTTAAATAAACATTTTTATAGATAAAGAGGCCGAATCTATAGTTTTTAGAATTTTTGTCTGTTTGTGTCTATGTTCCGCATCACGAAAAAACCACTGAAGGGATTTTTATGAAATTTGGTATGATGGTAGCTGCTTATCCGGGTCAACATATAGAATATTTTTAACTGCGGGAAAATATCTGATATCTGAGAAATCTATATAAACGTTAAAATGTAAGCAGGGACGAAACCGAGCGGACCGAGGGTGAGTCGCTAGTGTTATGAAAAACAAACGCAATTAGTAGCGAACTGCAGTTCTTGTATATATATTTTTCAGTTAACAAAAATTAAACTTTTATCATGCTTTATAAATGAAATGCTACATAAAACGTGTCTGTAAAGTTCAGGTCTTGTGATTTCATTGATACTAATTGAATAAAAAAGTTCATTTTAATTGGTCGAGCCATTCTTAAGACTAAAAGTTTAATGTATCACTTCAGATTCCAAGTAAGTTTATTTTATATTATATTAGTTTTATCTTTCTTAAAATATTTAACGTTAACTCTATTGTAATCTTATTATATGCTAGCTTTTGTCATTCGTTTATTTTTTCTATAACTGCTCCGGTCCTAAGGTCTCAACAAAAACGCTATAGATCGAATTATAGTTCAAACAAACATAAAATTCAACAACCTCTACAGTGTTATCCATATCCATTTATATTATAAATGTGAAAGTGTGTTTGTTTGTTTGTTTGTTTGTTTGTTTGTTTGTCTTTCTTTCACGTCGAAACGGAGTGACGGATTGGTGTGGTTTTTTGTGTGATAGTTTTTTGTGGGATAGTTGGAGGGCTGGAGAGTGATATAGGCTACTTTTTACCGCGGGAAATCATCTAATTCCCACGGGAAAACACGTTATATTACAATCCAAAAAAATATGTATGATCAGAATTACTTGAAACTCGGTATTAATGTTCTTCAATAAAATTAAATAAATATTTGTTTTCGTTTTTTTTTTTTTGAAATTCATCCTGTAAAATAGGGGATGAAAGTTTGTATGAAACTACCTTATTAGAGATTTTTTTGTAGTTTTATCGCGAGCGAAGCCGCGGGTTCTGCTAGTAATATATAAATATAAGATATACTATATTGATATGTACACAAAATAATGTATAAGGATATAAATCAAATTAGTAAGTTCGGTTATTAATATTAGGAGCGTGTTAATGAATCTTTCAAGTAAACAGTCTTTCTTTCTCTATGCCAAAAGCTTGCCTGGAAGAGATAGTTCACTTAAGGATAAGTTCGCCTGTTGTACTAATTCTTTATATTTTAATTATATATTATGTAAAAGACAATGGCCATTCTTGTTATCGATATTTCTTTTGCTTCATTATTGAAAGAATATAATAAATATTTTCTTTATTTTCGCTATCGTCTGGTCAACTAAAAGTTTATTTTGTACAAAAGTTTTCATTAAAGATAAAATCTATATTATGTACATTGTTTAATTATTATTATGTACGTGAAACCAAACAGTTTATTAAAGTGTAAAATATTGAACAGATAATATAATTTTTCTAATTCGAATATGAACATTGCTAATTTATTTATTTATTATTAAGTTTGATAACACAATTTTTTATTGTAACGATATATTTGATAACGATCAAAAAATTTTTACTCTTATGTTCATAAATTACATAGATACTTCGCCTAATAGAAAATTAAAATATAAATGAGTATAAAGGAAATATTTAAATAAAATCTAATAAGCAAACCTCTTTGGTGTTGTGTTACGTTTTCTAAGCTACTTTTTAAAATAACATTTTGACAAGTAACCCCGCTTGAAATTTTTAAATTAGCTAGAGGCAGTAATTTCTTATTATACAGTAAAACAAGTTTAGACTTAGACATTGTAGGAATTGCCTTTTATTGTGTAGAACGGAAAGAATATCATAACATAATTAAAAATGATTGAGGTATTTTTTTATATATATTATTATTACAATGTTCTAAAAAAATCATATTTTAATAAGATTTTTTTGGTTTGTAAATATAGGATTAGTATTAGTAGTCCTTTTTAACGTCCCACTGCTGGGCACGGGTCTCCCTTCAATATGAGGGGGATCAGGCCATAGTCCACCACGCTGGCCAAGTGCGGGGGCAGATCTTTTGAAAACTTACTATATAAAAGTATAATAATAATAATAATATAGATTGTTTATATTTTAAAAAAAATATTTGTAATAAGATGCGCCTCATTGTATATATGGATCTTAATTAACCCAAATTTAATTATTTTATCGAATATTAGCAATATTCGATAGTTTCGAAGTTAATGCTACCCGAATAAACACTAAATATCCTACTAGTATTGCAGTATCGTAGACTAATATGCTAAGTTTGAAGATATGGTAAGATGTACATATATTTAGATATGAACATTTAACTTCTCCATTTTGTGTACATACAAAGCTTTATTGACGAGCGCGCGGGACTTAATATATCAAGATCATATATTATCGCGTATATATTCTTGATTAATTATGGATCTTAAAGGATATATCTAAATTCGAAATTAGATATATTGGTTTTGGACAGAATCAAAAGAGTCAACAATGAAAAATGTTAGGGATTTATCGGACGGATTTAAAGCGGATTTATCAGTTTTCGACCAGGTTACATTAACCATAGAGTAAAATATGTACGAGAACAGCCAATTGGCATCATAAATAAATATCAAAATGTCATTTATCGGTTTTTGTTCTGACGCTCCACATTAATAAAACTCGATTTCCTGAAATTTTCTGTTCTTACATTAGCATCTAAAAACACCCAATTTGTAACGACTGCATATTTATATGTTTGTATTTTCTGTTTATACATATTTTTGTATGAATTTATTCATTTTTTCCTATTTGTATGGATTGTTATACTATGAAACTTTGAGCATTATAGCTAAGTATAACAAAAAAATACTATGACATTTTTTATCAAATCAAGAAAGACCTACTGTCAAACAGTCGGTGACCTGTACAACTCTTAATGCAATAGCGTAGGGACAGCTTGATTTTGCCACTATCACCTTAAAATAAACATGACAAATTTTGCATGAGCTATATTAGAGCTATATTAGATCTATACATTTAATAAAATTGTAACTAAGCCGAATCTGTACATTAAATATTTTTTGGAAAATCTTATGGAAATAGACATTATTATCTATACAGAGGCCGAATCTATAGTTTTTAGAAAATTTGTCTGTCTGTCTGTATGTAACCGCATCATAGAAAAACCACTACAGGGATTTTGATGAAATTTGGTATGGTGATAGCTGGTTATCCGGGTCAACATATAGGATATTTTTTACCGCGAGGAAATATATCATTTCTGAGAAAAAATGCAAAAACTGCAATGTAAGAGAAAACTAATATGTAAAACCTAAAAATTTCGTTTTTGGTCACCTCAACGCGGGCGGAGCCGAGCAATGCTAGTTTTATATAAAAATAACTAATTCAAAACGTCGGCAACCAAAATAAATCCGCGAAAAAATCGGAAAAGAAAAATTTTATTTAAAATATTTAAATAATTCGATAGAATATAAAACTCTATGAAATGGATGGTATTTTTAATACGATTTGGTAACTAAATTGATATCGCAAATAAAAGCCAATATTTGGTAGTGAAAGTGGGTCACTGTTTGTCACACACACATGACGCTATACGTGCAACGTGCTATCGAGTTTAAACTTTCATAGGTCCAGCTAACTCATTTAAGTTTATCACTATTTATGTGACCAGTCCGAAAGCAACTTTGAAACTGTGTAAATTGAATTATAATTTTGCTTAATGGTATATAACGGAAACATAGTTTAGTATGAAGTTATTGAAAATTTGATAATTTACAATAGCCTATTTACTTGAATATTAAACATTTAATTATTTCGCTGTACTCAATATTATTCTCTATTATCTGCTATTCTATTTCCAATAAGGCTAATATGTCAATGGACAAAAAATCTATACAGATAAATAAAATTGAAGTGTCTGTTTGTAATGTCTAAATAGCAGCGTTTTACTAAATGCATATAAAATTATATACGGTACTTATAAGAAAACACACAATTTTTGAACATTTTGTCTGTCTGTTTGTTCCGGATAATCTCTGAAACGGCTGGACTGATTTTGACGAGACTTTCACTGGAAGATAGCTGATGTTATAGGGAGTAACATAGACTACTCTTATTCAAGAAAAAGAATTAGGGTTCTGCTCAAAAAAATTAAAACGTCCCTAGGAACGAACCCAAGCGAACCGAGTGTGAGTCGCTAGTAGTTTATAAACACACTATTATTCTTAGGTGTGGCACTTTTTGTTGAAAATCAAAAGAATCACCTTAATCTTAATGCTTATTTATTTAAGAATAATCAAATCCGCTTATAATTATCGAGCGTATAATTGAAGAAATAGGAACGTATTCGAATTCAATATTTCTTATTAAAGTCAGGCAAAATATCCCTCACGTAGTTCTACACACTGCAGGTGTCGAAAACATCTAGATGTTGATGTCACATAACTGATTTATGCAATTTATAAAATACTAGCGGACCCGACAGACGTTGTCCTGTCTACACGTCTTTAATTTGAAAATTTCAAACTTTTTTTAATAATTTTTTTGATGAAAATTATTATTCAAATTGTGAATCTAAACCATTCTCAGATCCCCTTGAACACACACAAAAAAATTCATCAAAATCGGTCCAGTCGTTTGAGAGAAGTTCAGTGACATACACACTCACAGAAGAATTATATATATATATAAAGATAAGAGTATGAATGTAAAATATTCTAAATTAATTTAACTATATTGAGAGCTTAATATTGAAAATGAAAATATGAAATCCTATGATTTCCAAGTTTGACTACGGTTTTAAAAGTTCTCGTATAACGTTTTCCAGCTGGTTTTAAAGTGAACTTACGTATTTACTCTAGGCGTAGCTAGATTAGTACTCGTAGATAGTAGATTATGTATACAGCCTTCGATGATCATCAAGCACTGCCCAATAGAGCGAAGGTTATGAGTTCAATCGTGAAATTACACAAAATTTAGTATCTTACATAATATATATCTTTATATATATAATTCTTCTGTGAGTGTGTATGTCACTGAACTTCTCTCAAACGACTGGACCGATTTTGATGAAATTTTTTGTGTGTGTTCAAGGGGATCTGGGAATGGTTTAGATTCACAATTTGAATAATAATTTTCATCAAAAAAATTATTAAAAAAAGTTTGAAATTTTCAAATTAAAGACGTGTAGACAGGACAACGTCTGTCGGGTCCGCTAGTGTAGATATATTTGCCTAATATATATTTATGTATGTATACGTTAATTTTTGAGCTTGTATATATTTAATATTAATTGTACCGACCCGTTTACGATTCCACTAATACTTTCACCAAAGGTTCTCTGTAAGAGATAGCTCATAGCAATAAGACCGTTTTTGTATACCTTATTGCTATCTTTCTTTTTATTCTTCTTTTGTGCGTGGAAAAACTTATCTATCTATCCATACACGTTTTTATACGCCTACAATATATATAACGTTACAAAATATAGAAACCTAAAGTATTTTTAAAAGATCTTGCTACTGAATACTGATTCAAACCCGACTCTTAATCGATAATTTTAACCTACAATATGTGTCTTTAGTAAGACCTTTTAACAATAACCTCCTTCAACGTTATTTCTATAAATATTAATGTTAGCGAAGTTTTTCTAACAAATAACATTGCGTAAAATAAACTTTTGTTCTTTGAATGAAACTTTTGTGCCTGAAATAATTTACGGAGATTCCATTTTTAAGTAAATGTCAAGTAGATACTTGATATTTCTTACTTAAAATTTCTAACTTAAATTATTTCATCATAAAATTACGTTTATCTAAGTTCTAAATAGCATTGACATTCTTGAACACAGTTTTTACTTAATAATAACTACACATCCACTTACCTGTGGTAAACTACACGAGAAAGCGATAAGCCACGCAAACCACAGCATTGTTTTACTCCGGTTTCTGGCAACAGCTAAGCGGAGTGGATAAATAACAGCAAAAAATCTGAAATAAAAAGATTGTTAAATACAAATTGGATAAATTATTATTATTTTTAGTTCCATGGTAAGCTACGAGGTTTGTGTTATAGATCCCAGATAGTTGATATACTACATATATAACTTTAAATACATACATATTATAAATATAAACACCCATGACTGGAGTACAAACATTCGTGCTCAACACACAAATGAATGCCCCCAGCGGGACTCGAACCCGCGACCGCTGGCACAGCAAGTAGGGTCACTACAAACTGAGCCAAACGTCAAATTAGTTTTATTTATTACTTTATTCGCATTTGAACCCTATTTGTTAATGGAATTTTAGTTATCATCACAGTTGAAGAGGTGTCTGGGACGTTATTTGAACAAAATATGTATGTATTTTACCAGACTAGAATAAATTCAATAAACCTGCGACTTGAAAAAATAAAGTGAAATATCACTTTGTACTTTTCATAAGAAACTTTACAACTAACTACACAAACTTTACTTGTAATGAAACGACACAATAGTATGTGATCTATACACACATATAACAAAATTCAAACTTAGTCGAATCTGTACATTAAATATTTTTTGGAAATTTTTATTGAAATATTGAAATAGTCATTATTATCGATACAGAAGCCGAATCTATAGTTTTTAGAATTTTTGCCTGTCTGTCTGTCTGTAACCGCATCATGAAACCACTGGACAGATTTTGATGAAATTTGGTATGATGATAGCTGATTATACGGGTCAACGGGGTATAGGATACTTTGTACTGCATGAAAATATCTAATTTTTGAAAAATCTATACTAACTGTTAAAACGGGTCTAGGGACGAACCCGAGCGGTGAGTCGCTAGTTTTAAATATACGTAGAGATGTGTGTGTATGATATAGGTTACATGTTGTTTTAGTTCATCAAATGGGTCGTGACTCAAATAAGCATGTTGTAAAAAAAAACTTAAGAACGACATTAGTAAAATTATACAAAAATTTAATAAAATAAATATTAATCTTGTTATTTCGTTTTCGCAGATCATTATCTTTTAGAATAAAGTTACATATACTGGAAGATTCAAATCAATAAAAGAATTGAATTTAATTGAATCTTACAGTACATGTAAAATTATTTTAATTAGAAGCCTTTATATACCAAAATAATTAATGCTAAAATTGATTTTTGATCTTATTTTACAGTTATATTATATCTTTATATAGTTTAATGTAAATGTATATGAGGCATGGGAAAAATAAATTTATTTAAATTTGAGTGTTAATAATAACACAGAAAACGAAAACATAATAAAGTAGGTAATTCTCGCGTCGTTTTATAAAGTAGGCCACACACGCAGGGCCATTGTTAAGCTTTACGGTTAAGCTCGTGCTCTTTTAGACAAACATACGTCCGTCGTACAAAACGGAAATACAAAATGGAAAACAAAACTTTAAAAAAAGATATTTCAAAAGTATTTCCACTAAGTCCTCAATAAAACAACATTTAAAGGAGACACAAAATATTTATATTTTTCAATTGTGTAAATAAGTAAAATTAACGTGTTTAAAAATATAGTTGTTTTAAAGTTTTGCTTTCCATCCGATAGCTTCATTGTCAGACTATTTCGCTGGTACGAAATTATTGAAGTGTCATCGTACTCGAATTAACTAGCAAAATTGTCAACACATTTAGCTCAGTTTGTAGTGACGCTACTTGCAGTGCCAGCGGTTGCGGGTTCGAGTCCCGCTGGGGGCATCCATTTGTGTGATGAGCATGAATGTTTGTACCCCAAGTAATGGGTGTTTATATTTATAATATGTATGTATTTAAAAGTGTCATATGTGTAGTGTATCAACTATCATATGGTATCCATAACACAAGTCTCGTAGCTTACCATGGAACTAGATGTTGCTGTGTGTCCCGACATATTTATTTATATTTATAAAATTTAAAATCAACTCGACTATTCGACGTCTGTACTACTAATTAAGCAACATTTTTATACATAGACATATAACATTAAAAACAAAAACATTGTAATTATTACTGTTTAGGTACATACATGTTATTCGAAAATCTTATTAAATCTATTTAAATCAAAAACGAGCTTTGATTAAACTTTCTAACTCGTAGCGTAGGTACGTGTATAGCGTATAAAATATAACAAGCATCAAAATCTTAATTTAGTTTCTGATTGTAATGCATTAAAGGAGTCATCATAGTAGGTAGCAGTGGCGAAGGGAGAAATTTTAGCAGAGGTAACCCGTTCCAAAAATATACAATTTTTATATACGTATGTATTAGTAGCTATTATATATATATATATATATATATATATATATATATATATATATATAAATTTTAATATTTTTTATTATATACATATATAAGTTTTAAGGTAAGACGTCTTGTATGGTCGGACGCTTCGCCACTGGTAGGTAGGTATACTATTCATACATTGGATTCGTGGAATCTGTATTATATTACACTATATTATACTTAACCAAACTTGATAATAGATTAACATTACTAATGGGCTTTAAATGTGTAGGACGAACACTAAGTTATATGAAATAGGTCGTTTAATTAAAATCGACTCCCCTGACACATGAATGGTCCCAATATAAATATGTCATTTTTAAGAGACAATACACAAAGAAAAACTTTTTCTATTTTACAGCAATTTGAGAATTTAATGTTCAACAACGTTCGCATGGAAAACCAAACTGAAGCGGGTTAAAACCGCAAATCTCGAAATTCTGCTATGTTCAAATGCAAAGATTTTCAGCATGATTATAACTATTCTTACAATAAAGGAAAATATTGTAAATAAATCTGCATATTTTATTTAACTAGTTTTCAAAAAGCGTGTAAAGTCCGAAAATTCTTGACCAGCGTGATCGTCTAATTAATGGGAGGTAGATCTATACTTAGCAGAGGCACCTTAGAAGGATTGTAGTTATTAAAGATGAGCGACAAATTCGGTTGAGTGATTTTTATTTATGAATTTTATTTTACATCCAATTAGAACGGCAGCGCCACTTACACTAACTAGATTATACATTATAAATTATAACAAACATAAAATACAGTAAACAAAACAAAAGTAAATACTACTTGGATTCTGAGAATATTCTGAGAATATATTTATATCGTCCTTGTCTCCATAATAAGTTTGTCTTTAAAAGGACACTGCAGAAGCTAAACTGAAATAATATAACAGCGCAAGGTCAGGTGAGATGAGTTCAGTAGAAGTTCCCAGTAGTAACTTGTGGTGTAAGTTATTGCTGTTAAATAAAGAAAAAAACATTAAAATTGCTGATTTTAACACCTAGAATCTGTCTAGGCCTTAGGCGGTTCATTAAAGGATACTTCAAATCTATACATATAATAAAATTGTAACTTAGCCAAATCTGTACATTAAATATTTTTGGAAAATCTTATTGTAATAAACATTATTATCGATATAGAGGCCGAATCTATAGTTTTTAGAATTTTTGTCTGTCTGTCTGTCTGTCTGTTACCGCATCACAGAAAAACCACTGAACGTATGGTCGTAGCTGGTTATCCGGGTAAACATATAGGATACTTTTTACTGCGGAAAATATCTCATTTCTGAGAAAAAATACAAAAACTGCATTGTAAGAGTATACTAATATGTAAAACCTAAGAATTTGGTTTTTGGTCATCTGAACGCGGGCGGAGCCGCGGGCAATGCTAGTATGGAATAAATCATGCAACTGTTCAAAAAAATACTTCAATGAATCCGTTTGATGAAACTTTGCCAGTGAAACTTTAGTTACGGCGTCCACTATTCAGTTTGAAGCTTCTAAACCCCAAGTAAATTTATATGACGGTGCACATTATAGAGATATTTACATCTATTAAACTGGTTATATAAAACCATACTATATTTAAAATATAGTATTTAAATAAATGGATATCTTATCAAAGTTCATCCTTGTATTTTCATGTGATTTGTGCTCAGTAAAAAATATTTTTTGGCTTTTATTGGTAACGTCATTTTATAATAATGAAAAAAAAAACATAAAGCTAAAATTACCTATTAATTTAAATTAAAAATAATAGAAAGAAGAATGCTAAAATATTGGATCAAATAGAATAGTACCATGTACTAGTTTGGTGATTAAAAGAAAAAAATATATATTGAAATGCATATATTTAAAACGCTTTTAATACATTTAAATTAATTAAGATAAGGAATATGCTTACCCTAATGAATATTTAAAAAACTGTATGCTTAGTAGCGAGGGCTGCATTTAAATTAGTTTTTACTCGAGATCAAAGAAGAATAAAAAATCTTAAGAAAATAACATTTGCTGTTAGAATTTGAATTCTTTAAATTAGAGGAAATGTTACTTACTAAATTAATTTTATTTTTATCTAAACTTATTACTTACAGTAGCCTATGTCCATGTGCTATTTGTGTCCTATAGTGTTACCTATAGTCTATTTACCTATTGTTAACGACACCATTTATTATGTATTAATATACTATATATATATATATTATTATATATATTGATTCTAACAAATTTGAAGGTAGCAATGATTATAAATTATAAATTTTGACATTAATAAAATATGAGGGTATAATAAAAAAAAAATTAAAGTGGGTTGTTGATAAAAAGTTACAGAGGACGCAGGTTGTGTGTAAGGAAGTAAAAAAATGTATATTGTAAGTATAGGCTGAATTTCACATCAATAAATTATTGCAAGGACCATACAGTATCTGTCTATTATTGGAGAACCATAATTTAATACTATGTCCCAAACTTCATCCAAATCCGACTAGCCGTATCAGCGTGAAGGAGTTATAAACATACAAACATACGAACTTTCATACATAACTAGCTACTCACCCTCACTTTGCTCGGATTAATCCCTAGTGAAAAATAAAAACAAAGCCATCTATTTTTTTTGGATAAAAAGTAACCTATATGCTATTATAGATTGTAATCTAGTTCTGTGCCAAATTTCATTTAGATCTGTTCAGCCGTTTTAGTGTGATTCAATAATAAACATCCACGCAAACTTTTGCACATATTTATTTATATATATATATATATATATATATATATATATATATATATATATATATATATATTATTTATTCATTATATATATTATATATATACATATAATAAATAAATAAATGCAAAAATTTGCCTGGATGTTTATTCTTGAATCACACCAAAACGGCTGAACAGATCTAAATGAAATTTGGCACAGAACTAGATTACAATCTATAATAGCATGTAGGTTACTTTTTATCCAACAAAAATTGACATATATATATATATATATATATATATATATATATATATATAGATAGAATTTCGTTTTACATAAATATGGAATAGCAGCATGGTAATAGCTCACCTGTCTAAGGATATGCAGACTAAAACATTCGATGACAAATAAAGTCCGAAAGCTCGTAGAACTAGAAAAAATTTACACGCTATGTTTCCAGCCAACCATGCGTTTGTCGTTCTCCACCCGATCTGAAAGAGTTTACTAATATTAAAATCACAAATAACTTAACATTATGACTATCATATAAATATCTTTTTTACCCGACTACGGAAAAGGTAAAGGAAGGCTTATGGTTTTAGCGGTTAATGTATGTATGTGTGTGTGTGTGTGTGTGCGCGCGCGTGGGTGTGTGAGTGTAGGTGTGTGTGATACATATTTTATGTATTTTAAAAAATGTATGGGCTCTTATCTAAAATATTATTAGATACATAAATAACGAATCCTCTTATTAGTTTACTTATAAATCGAACTAGCATTGCCCGCGGCTCCGCCCGCTTTCAGATGACCAAAATCCAAATTCTTAGGTTTTACATATTACTCGTAGTATACTCTTACATTTCAGTTTTTGTATTTTTTCTCAAAAATGAGATATTTTCCCGCGATAAAAATTATCCTATATGTTGACACGGATAATCAGCTATCACCATACTAAATTTCATCAATACCCTTCAGTGGTTTTTCTGTGATGCGGTAACAGACAGATGGAAAGACAGACAAAAAATCTAAAAACTTCAGATTCGGCTTCTGTATCGATAATAATGTTTATTTCAATAAGATTTTCCAAAAAAATTTAATGTACAGATTCGGGTTAGTTACAATTTTATTATATGTATAGATGATGAAAGTTTGCAAAATAAGATCACTTCCCGTAACTTTGATCTGTACGTGTTAACATCAACATAACTGTAAAGAAGCGCTGTGAAAACACAATTTATCTTACAAAGCTTAACCGCAAACTATTACGCGCACGAAATTAGAGTGTTTTACATAAAATTCTGTATAATCATTCATTTTTAATGAGACTTCCGAAGAATAGAGTGAGCGGTTGATAAAAAAAGGTTTATTAACGACATCCCTCATGTGTTTTGTTACTACTACGAGTAGGTTCTACTGTTGTTTAGACAATAGTTGGTGGGCAATGTAGTATATTAGTAGCAACATAAACAATGTATATAGTATATAGGTAGGATTAATCAGAACCAACATTTTTGTAATAGATTAAATTAGTTTTAAGAGTGATTTAAATAAAAAGTAAGCAATTAAAATCAATAAATTACATGTAATAAATAGATGTTAGAAATAGACATAAAAATTAGAGTATAACTAAGTTAAGACCTAAAATGTAAATAAAAAATTACTGATTATCATCATTCATCATTCATCATCAATCATTATCCCCGAGTTAATAGTATAAGAAATAAATAAAAATAAAAACAGATTGCTCATGAATAAATGCGGATGAATGACAGAAAGACATAGTATGCGGAATGGAAGTGCAAGAGGCAAAAATGCGAGAACTGGTATGAAAGAATTAGTAAATACAGACTCCTTCCTCCATGTTGGAGGTTTAGAAATAAAAAAAAAATAGTCGGTGGGCCCTATACTATACATCTGAAGTCAAAAACAGAGTTCAAATAAGTATTTTTAAGCGCCAGCCACTTACCAATAGAAATTAAATTATAAAAATTAAAAAAACCGACCACGTTAATAGCGAGCTCAAAATATGGGAACAAGTTATAAAAGGAACATAGTATTTTTGTTGACGACACGTTTGGCTCAGTTTGTAGTGACCCTACTTGCTGTGCCAGTGGTCGCGTGTTCGAGTCCCGCTGGGGGCATTCATTTGTGTGATGAGCACGAATGTATGTACTCTAGTCATGGGTGTTATAATATGCATATATTTAAAGTTATATATGTGTATATATATCAACTATCTGGTATCCATAACACAAGCTACGAGCTTACCATGGAACTAAATGGTGCTGTGTGTTAATGTCCAAAAAAAACAAAAGAAAAAGTATTATTCTTGCTTGAAATTGAACATAGCTTCGCCGCACTCGGGTAAAAGAGGAGTTCACAATTTGACTGTGTTTTGTATCTTACGCGATATATTCAAAATTCAATTTGTATAATACTTTCTTAGATTTACGCGAATATTTGAAATTTTAAATAAAACTATCTTTTCGGATTTTATCGCGGATTTATTTGGATTTTTGGTTCTGTAAAGCATTCGAAACGTCGGGAACCAGAAATCCAAATATATCCGCGAAAAAATCCGAAAAGATAGTTTTATTCAAAATTCAATTTGTAATCAAAATACATCCCAAAATGTCACAAAATTTTCTATGACGTGACAAATTCTTGGTAATTATACTATCCAAAACTATGGTGGTGTCCTTAACAATGCTCTTAGGTAACCATACTCATTAGTCCTTGGGATATCAAAGAAGTCGAGGGAATATTCAGGATTAAAGATATTATATTTCTATCTAAATGTCGTTGGTCCTACATCATTGGTTCGGTTCGATCAAAGAGAATTCTTCAATCCTAAAAAGGGAAATCGTAGGGACTTTTGATACATATTTCTCTGTCTCCAATTTTATTTGTTACTAGCAGAACCCACGGCTTCGCTCGCGTTATGTATTTTTTAGGTTGTATTATAACGTGTTTTCCCGCGGGAATGAGAGCCTATGTCACCCTCGAGCCCTCCAACTATCTCCACACAAAAAATCATGTCAATCCGTCACTCCGTTTCGATGTGAAAGAAAGACAAACAAACAAACAAACAAACAAACAAACAAACAAACAAACACACTTTCACATTTATAATATTGAGATGTATATTGCACACAAAGAAAGAAATAATTTAGGTTGATTCCCCATACAAAATTTCATCCCCATTTTCACCCCTTTAAGGGAAGATTTCATGGATAAAAGTATTCTATGTCCTTCCCATGGTCTAAAACTATATTCTTACCAAATTTCATCTAAATCGGTTCAGTATATCCAGAGATTACCCCCTACAACGTCACAAACTCACAATTCATAAACTCACAAACTTTACCTCTTTATATATAATAATATAACTAGCGACTCACTCTCGCTTCGCTCGGGTTCGTCCCTAGGTTGATTCCCCATACAAACTTTTATCCCCATTTTCGCCCTCTTAAGGGATGATTTTCGGGATAAAAAGTATCCTATGTCATTCCCAGGGCTCCACCGTCTTAATGCGGCGTCGCAGAATCACTTACGCACTCAACCACGACGCTCCGACGGCAGGTCTGATGAAGCGGACCACAACGACCATGGTGTCACCACAGTCCACTGTGTTATCAGAGAAGTACCAGGAGCAACCTGCATAGCACACCACCCACCGAGGTGGGCCGTCTCCCAGTGCGTTTTTTAGCTTCACTTCCGGCTGGATTGCCCCCAACCCCCAACCATAACAAGGTGAACGCACGTTCAATCATTTTTTTTTTTTTTTAACGTTGGGAAATGCATTTACGCACGACGTGTGGGACTCACCGGCGTAATACAGCCAGTACTACCCACTAAAACCCAACAAAACCTTCCCCCGTCTTAATGGGGCGTCGCAGGATCGCTTACGCATTCAACTACGACGCCCCGACGGCAGGTCTGCCGAAGCAGACCACCACAACCATGGGGTTGCTCCACAGTCCACTCTGCTATCAGAGAAGTATCAGAGAAGTACCAGCAACCCGCATGGTACACCGCCCCCCGAAGAGGGCCACCTCCGACCGCCCACCGAAGTGGGCAACCTCCCTGTGCGTTTCTTAGCTTCGCGCCCGGTTGGATTGCCGGGCACTACTGAGCCCCCCCACCACGACAAGGTGAACGCACGTTGGGGGGGGCACGTTCAATCCCTGTCTCAACTTAATTTATGTTTCCATGTAAGTGACTTATGTATTTTTTACTGAAATCTTTAAACCTATTTTTAATATTAGATACATTGTACTGAAGACAAAGTGAGTATAACGATTGTTATAGGTTTGAGATTATCGTAGAAAAAGAGCGCTGAGTGGCATTTTTCTAAGCAATGGTATGTTTAGATCATAACAAAAAAATAAAAACCGACTTCAAACAAATGCACTAAAAAGTAAAAAATAACTGATTGGTAGTTTTCATTTACTATACATACCTAATCAAATATTTTCGAAGTCTGTGTGCTTTGCTTTGTATGGGCTGGCACCGATTTCGAAAATATTTGATTAGGTATGTATTTAATAGGTAGGCTTTAATTACTTAGCCAAAGCACACCGACTTCGAAAATATTTGATTAGGTATGTATAGTAAATGAAAACTACCAATCAGTTATTTTTTACTTTTTAGTGCATTTGTTTGAAGTCGGTTTTTATTTTTTTGTTAAAAAGTTTTTATTTTTCCCTTTTTAGTGTACACAGTAGTAGCGAAGTAAGAATTCTAACGTGTTAGGCTTGTCAAATCAAACAAAATAAGCCCAAACTCAAAGTATCTACTATTAGCCGTTGAAAAGTTCCACCTATCCACCTTCTGGCCTTACCATAAGATCAGGTCAATAATAGCGAACCACTGTACTATCAACGGAAATAGAAACACTTGCAATTTTAATGTTAATATGACAATTAGAAGTAGGTTAAATTCATCATTAGCTGTTTTTCCACCCTTAGGGGTGGTATTTTTTTTTGAAATTTAAATGGGACTAATCTGGAAGTATACCCTTTCAAACAACACAAAAATTGTCCAAATCGGTTCATAAATGACGGAGTTCTGAGGTAACAAACATAAAAAAAAAATACAGTCGAATTGAGAACCTCCTCCTTTTTGAAGTCGGTTGAAAAGGAAACAAAATGTCAATATTGTCATAACAAAGTAATACAGTTTTAACCAGTGCAGGGTATTTAGACTTATTTATATAGAGTTTTTAAAAACATTGTTAACTATATTTCTTTTACTGCTTAACATTTATCATTAAATTTTATTACAATATTTGTCAATATTTTTGATCATTATGCTTCTATAAATTTCATTTTATATATCACTCACAATTCTCATAGCATAAATAATACAAATCACAATATCACTCAAACTGATTTTCATATAGTTGATAATTTTCTTATAAACAAATGGACGTGTGTTTTCACCCATGTGTTTTCCTATAAAAACATAAAATTTCCAGTGAATCCTATTT